TGCCCCAGGCTTCAGAGGCTGCTGCAACAAAATCCAACAGCAGCTAGTACACCTCTGTCATGTGCTCCCAGCAAAGGTGTTGTAGAGTGAGATGTATCACTCCATAGCTAAAACAAAGCGTTAAACACAAAAAGGAGCTGCAGCAATGTGCAGTATGACAAAAATATGGTGTTTTTTGAAAATGAAACCCTGTAAACTTCTGGTACAACCGCTAAATAGGATTTTGAACCTGAAAATTTGCATAATATGACCATTTTAAATATCCTCAACCTACCTTTAAGGTTCATAAACAACGAGTGGTCTTGAGCATGCTTCCAAATGTGGGAGTGAGAAAGTGTTTCAGATGTTGATCATAACTGTCCACAGGAGCTTCATTTTGATATTAAATTGACATAAAATCTGGTGATCCATTGACGTTTCATCCATTCAGCTTCAGCTGTACTTGTGTCCAATGCTAATTAGCCAATGTTAGCATGCTACATTTGATGACAAATATTGTACTTGAGTTTGTTGAAATAATGTTGGAGTCTATTATAGGAATGTTTTTTCCTGCTGTTGAGGACCTCCAGGTGTGTTTGGACTGCACTGACTGGGATGTTTTCAAGAATGCTACCAACAATCTGGATGAGTTTATAGAGGCTGTGACGTCCTACATCAGCTTCTGTGAGGACAGCTGCATTCCAACATGGACCAGGGTGAATAATAATAATGACAAACCCTGGTTCACAGCTAAACAAAAAAGAGGAGGCATTTAGGAGTGGTGACAGGGCCGGGTGCAGGGCGTTAAAGTACAGGTATAGCAGGGAGGTGCGAGAAGCTAAACGACTGTACTCAGAGAGACTAAAGAACCAGTTCTCTGCAAACAACGGCAGTCCTCCCTCTATAAACGATTCTCGCCTGGCAAATGAGCTGAACCAGTTCTACTGCCGCTTTGAGAGTCAATCAGACACCATCCCCCGTGAATCCTCCGCTCAGCTTCAGCCTCAGTCCACCACTTCTTCAACTCCCTCCTCAGAGCTGGCCAGCTCCACCCCCTCCTCTCCTCTCTTCATCACAGAGAGGGAAGTCAACGGTCTTTTCAGGAGGCAGAAACCCCGCAAAGTAGCTGGGCTGTCTCCCCATCCACCCTGAAGCACTGTGCTGATCAGCTATCTCCAGTGTTCACAGACATTTTTAACACCTAACTGGAGACGTACCATGTGTCAGCCTGCTTCAAAGCCTCCTCCATCATCCCTGTCCCCAAGAAACCAAGGACCACTGGACTAAACGACTACAGACCTGTCGTCCTGACCTCTGTGGTTATGAAGTCCTTTGAACGCCTTGTGTTGTCCCACCTTAAATCCATCACAGACCCACTCCTGGACCCCCTGCAGTTCACCTACAGAGCCAACAGGTCTGTAGATGAAGCTGTAAACATGGCCCTTCACTACATGCTCCAGTACCTGGACTCCCCAGGAACCTACGCCAGGATCCTGTTTGTGGATTTCAGCTCTGCTTTTAACACCATCATCCCAGCCCTGCTGCAGAACAAGCTCTCTCAGATGGACAGGAAGCAGCACGTGAAGCTGGGAAAACATGTCTCTGACTCCAGAACCATCAGCACCGGTTCAACCCTCAAGGCTGCGTTCTTTCCCCCCTTCTCTTCTCCCTGTACAGCAACAGCTGCTCCTCCGGTCTGTCAAGCTCCTGAAGTTTGTGGATGACACCACCCTCACTGGGCTCATCTCAGGTGGGGATGAGTCCACTTAAAGGTGGGAGATCAACCATCTGGTGACCTGGTGCAGCCAGAACAGTCTGGAGCTCAATGCTCAGAAGACAGTGGAGATGGTCGTGGACTTCAGAAAGAGCCCAGCCCCACCCTCCCCCACCATCCTGTGTGACTCCCCGGTCACCACTGTGGACTCCTTCCGCTTCCTGGGCACCATCATCTCCCAGGACCTCAATCACCAAGACGGCCCAGCAGAGGATGTACTTCCTGCGGCAGCTGAACAACTTCAGCCTGCCAAAGACAATGATGGTGCACTTCTACACCGCCTTCATTCAGTCCATCCTCACCTCCTCCATCACCATCTGGTACGCTGCTGCCACTGCCAGGGACAAGGGCAGGCTGCAGCGTATCATTCGCTCTGCAGAGAAGGTGATTGGCTGCAGTCTTCCTTCTCTTCTGGACCTGTACGCCTCGAGGACTGCAGCTGACCCCTCCCACCCCGGACACAAACTGTTTCAGACTCTCACCACAAAAACAGATTCTTCCCGTCTGCAACTGGCCTCTAGGCCCAAGTCCCCCACTGACACTCCCCCCTTGCAAATGATACAAATGTCTCTGCACATGTAAATACTGTTTAATCTCACAAATATTAATATATTTCTACATTTATTTATGTTGACTGTAAGTTTGTCTACGTGTAGCACCTTATCACCACAGCAAATTCCTCGTATGTGTAAAACACTACTTGGCAATAAAGCTTCTTCTGATTCTGATAAGTTTTATCTGTAATACCTTATTGATAACATGTAATCCACCTTGCTCATCCTGCTGACCATCTTTTTATCAATTTCTTTCAGTAATAAATTAAAAAAAACAAACAACTAGCTGTAAGTGTAACTTTTTAAAATTGTATTCCTCTAATGTAGATATGGCATGTTCTGTTTGTAAGACAGCTTTCCTTTCTTTGTGCAATCATAAATAAAGATGTATCTTGAAATAAAGGAGACACGTCATTCAACTTTACAGCTTCAACATAGTGGATGTCCCTTGCTTTAGATTGTTCAGGGTAACTAGAGAGAGCCACACAACAGGACAAAGTTTCCATTTTCATTCCCATATGACGTCTCTGGGAACACATCAATGTGTTACTTGAGTGTTTTGCATTGAAATTACCTCCAACAGACTGTATTAGAAGAATGCTGAAAAGCAAAACACTGCAGGTCCTGAAGGACACTTGGTCATTAGACTTTATGTTTGGATGCAGCATCCTGGACTCCTGAAAATGAAAAACAAATGTCATGAAAAGAAGAGAGGAAAAAAAGGCCCATTATTCTGGGTTGTTTTCATGAAAAATCCAGTGTTCTGGTTTTTCTTCCTCAATGTTCTGACAGCGTGACAGTGTGAGTGGTTTTATCGCTTGGGACCACAGACAAAATGAGAAGATTGTGTCACACCAAACACATCTAAGCAGACATCAGGAAAATAAGACAATGCCTGAAATGTGAATGAAGAGAATCGTATGTGTTGTATGCTCTTTTTTCCTCTTGTGTGCTTTTGAAGATGTTTTGTCTGATTTTCAAAAAATTTATCAATATGTGAAGTTTGTACTATAAAAGAATCGACCCACTTCATTTGTCCAACTTAACTTAATTTTCTCAGTGGGTTTCTCAGTGCTCGGATTAACTAACAGTCCCTAGAAGTAGCATGATCCTTGACTTCTTGGACAAAGCTCTTCTCCAGGGTGACGCATATAAGAAAACACTGAGCAGATGGCAACAAACAATGTGTAAGGCATCCTGAGTCTCTGAGACATTCTTCAACACCAAAAACACCTCACATTAATTTCCACAACATAATTCAAACTTCATGTTACTGGTATCTTCAGCTGAACTCAAGAATGAATGTTTACACAGAAGAAGGATGTTAACTCCCATCTCTCACGTTGTGACGTTGTCATAGATTATTGCCTATTGCAGTGATCTATAACATTCAACTCACAGGAGGGAATGTGAATTTTGTGTTAGATTTCTAAACATATCCTTTAAAGATAGTGCTGCTCACTGTCACCATTTGAACAAGCCAATGACAGTTGTAAAATGCAACAGCAGTAAAAGTCATATAGGTGAATCAGAAACAGCTCTCGTCTGTTAAAGCATCAATAATTTCACAGAAAATTAACTGTTAAAAGAACTTCAACATTATCTAACCTACTTTTACCTACTGATAGTTAATCCATAAATAATCTGAAAATTGTTTTAACGTCAAGGATTATGATATGATGAGATATCCAACATTTAACAATCAAATTTACTTCGAAAAGCAACTCTTACCTGCAGCACGACGAATGCTAACTCTCCAATGTGATGTTGTGTGGTTCTGAAGAGTAGGCAACCAGAAATTTCCCAGTACAATTTTCCATCTGACAGCGGTCAGCTCACACACAGTTTGGAGAAGCAGACAGGATACCGGCACAGAAAAAAACCATCCTACTTCTCTGTTGTTTCTGTCTGCTTCTCCAAACTGTGGGTGAGGACTTCAAAAAAAATATACTATCCCTTCAATAGTGTTTTCAGCTCAGCAAAAAAGTCAGTGACTCCATTCAAAAGTTAATAAAGATCAGGCATCGCAGAGTGAGGTTTACTCACTGCACATATATATGTATATATGTATAAGTATGTGAATGACAGTATGCTTGTACTGTATGTGCAAGTGTGTATGTATGTATGTGCATTTTGCTAGGCGGCTTCTCACAGAGGTTTCTCTGTGACGCAAACCCTTCGGTGGTAGAAACCAAAAAGAGAAGGTGGCAAACTAAAAACTTCCTATGAAAGTGAGTCACTTACATCTAAATATAGTTTCTATTTGTCCAATTTGTGTGTTTCTGTGTGTGGCAGTGTTTTTCTACATCACTATGCATTCAGACCAGACGCAAATTTCATCCTACTTGAACTTGAATAAAACTAAGGAGCCTTACAACCAGAAGCACTAAAAAGGTTTTGAAGAGTGTCTTGTTTTCTGCTCTGATATAAGTTTCATAGTCCCAGTTTAAACACGGGAGAATGTACACACATCGAAACCCAGCTGTGGATGGATGTTTTAGATCTATTTAAGTTTAGATCGCCACTATATTTACAATGAAAATAGGGATGACAGTTTTTAAGAACATGCATTTATTCCATGGATATTTAGTCTGATCCATTTTACGTAACAAATGATTCTCAATACACAAGCAACAGTTCAACAAATTAAAATCATATCTTGCATTCATGAAAATATCAATATTAAAAAGGTTACAAAGGTAAAAGTTGTTTTGTATTATTTCCAATAATTTACATTTAATACACTTAAATCTATGAAAGGATAAATGGCAGTTGTAAGAGTAAATATAATGATGAAACCTATGGATAGGAAGTTAGTGTGATATGTTGAAATAGGAAATCAGTAGTGTTCATTTATTTGGAATAATTTGTTGTGGAGTAAAAGTAAAAGCAAAAGGATAATCAAAGCAGGACGGCGAAGGAGCTGGCAGCAATGAGAGTGAGCCAAGCTGGAAGCTGGGACTTTTACATCCTGTAGAGCACTGGGCCCAGGAGCTTCACATCTTGATTGACAGTGCAGTCAGCTACTCTGGCACCTCAAAAGACAACACAGGTAGAGAGAGTTACTGGCACAGCACACACACAAGCAGACTAAGCAGGATTCTCTGTAACAGGCTCCCAGACCAGCAAGTAAGAGTCACTGGTGCACTGACAAAGACATACAGGTGGGAACACTGACAAATTGTACTGAACAAACCTAAAGCAGGATACAAGGTATCCAGCACTCTGCGGTGTTGGACGAGTGCTACCTCTGCACCACATTTTATATTTCCTGTTCTGTTTTTCATTTTGCCTACATTATATCAAAGTATATTTTAATGTTAAATCATGGATATGTTATATAATCTATTCAAATTCACCTCTACATTTCATTATATAGACAACCATGAGCTCTGACAGTAACAGAAAAATGAAAATTAACATGTGACTTACGTTACGGTCTATTTATCCATGCGATAATAAACACTAAGACGGCAATTCCAAGACTTATGATGATGCTCCAAATGCAATACCAACAATTCTGATCATTGAAGAAACCAGCTGGAACGATACAAACCAGAACAGCATGACGCATTTTCAATCAAGCTACAACAGTTTAAACAAAACAGTGACATTATGTATAATTCAGTTAGAACTCGTTCTAACCTGTAACCTGGATGTGAGTGTCTCTGGTCTGGTTGATGTCCTTCTGTTGGACTCTACAGGTGAAGCTGTTGCTGTGTCTCTTCTCCACAGTCACTCTGCTGCTGACAGTATAGAGGTCATCAGGACCTCTGACTGTCTCTGTAGGTCCAGCAGAGAGGAGGTTTCCCTCACCGTCCAGCCAAAACACCTCAGGCTCTGGATACCAGCCTGCAGACTCACACTGTAACACCACACTGCTGCTGTTATCTGAGACAACCTGTATGATGGGCGAGGAGACAGCACCTGAGGAGGAGAGAGGAGGAATTAGGACAGTGGGTTTAGATCAAATAAATATATCACTGATTTTATGTATTGTTAAATTATTAAATTAAATTATATTAAATTAAATTATTGTTAATAATAATAAAATAATTATATTAAAAACACTTCAAATCATTAACAACTATTATTATGTGGAATTTAAAGGTAGCCATTTGTGCTATCTTCTCAGGGTCTGCTAGCTTTCCTTTCAGTGACCTGTTGGTGTCAGTTTGTAATGCACTGGGTAGCACCTTAGCACTTGGAGAAGCCCTGTACCATCCTTTACAAAAGGAAATGAGATAATGCCGTCCCACAATTCCTTGCGGCAGACCCACGTAAATGTAGAAACAACAAAGCACCTGTTTTGTGCTTGTGACATGATCCAAAATCAAAATCCTTATCCCGTATGATTAGCTAAGCTCCAAAACCATGAATATAGATTTCTTCTCTGTGAAATCCACCCAGTTAGGAGGAATCTTGAAAAATAAGCATAATGAATTTCTACCTGTCATCATGACAAAAAACTTTATACATAAATGTTGTTTCTCTGAATCTCCCCATTGTGGAATGCACAAAAAAAAAAATCTCTCCTTTGAAAATGTATAAAAAAGGTCAAAGAGAGCCCTTGCTCAATTCCTCATTTTTGTTTAATTATTATTTTAGTGGCTCAACTTTTTCCATCCATCCATCGTCAACCGCTTATCCTGGGTACAGGGTCGCGAGGGGCTGGAGCCAATCCCAGCTCAGGTGAAAGGCGGGGTACACCCTGGACAGGTCGCCTGTCCATCGCAGGGCTCAACTTTTTCTACTTGTATATTTATTTTTTTCATTATATTATTAACTTCATTATTTCCATCCTATTTGTTTTGTTTTTATTACTAGTAATTACTCTATGTATACACTGAAATCATAGCTGAGGCTGAGGAGTGATTCCGTGTTGGACAGGAAACATTAACTTTTTTTGTAAAGCATTGAGATTGTCACTGTACTTATCTTCCATCTGTTATAAAGTTTATTTAAAGCTTAGAGTGATGAGCAGTCGGACAACGAGGAAAAAGTGCAAAACCATGACAGGTTTCACAACATAAACCACTACTTTTATTTTGAAAGAAAGGGGCAAAGCGCTCGTCTCCTCCTCTTACGACTCTGGACCTCCTGCTGGCTAACAGCTTTGACATTCTGAATATACAAGTTTCCCTCACTGGATAAACGCCACCATCCATCAGAGAGCAACTCCACCTCCTCTTCTCGCCACAGGTTGCTCGTAGAGGCTGTGACCAGGACAAGATCCAGCAGCCTCACTGGTCTGCGGACAGCAGGTATTTCCCCTGTGGAAAAGGACGCTGGTCCAAAGACAGCAGGGAATTTTCATGCTGAGAAAGACGCCACCACCGTACTGCTGCAGCCTCGGGCTGCAATATCATAACATGTGCGGCTGCGGTAAGACAAGATGGCCCCTCATGGTGCCTCCTCTGATCCATCCTACGTCGCTCTTAATTGGGCACTCCATAGTGCGTAATATTCACTTTGGAAATGCAATCACACACAGCTTTCCTGGAGCCATAACCACCGACATCATTGATAAGGTCCCTGACCTCCTTGCCTCACTCCCTGCGTCCATCAGGAAAATCCAACACATTCTCATCTCAATGCGTCATAACTGATGCCGTATGAAACGCCCCCGTTTGCTACGTTGCAGCAACACATGGGAGGTTAACCCTACCTGTTTGGCTTAGCTTAAGTTAGAAAGTAACACCATACTCACAGTAAAATGCAACATCAGCAGGAAGGCTATTTCTTGCAAGGAAGGAGGCAGCTCCAATATGACATAGCATTTACTCCAACACGGTGTGAATCTGAATGAATGCACTGTGTTCAGTTTGTTGTGGTCTCCCAGTTATAATGATGCCCCAGTTAGCTAATGCTAATAGTAGCAACATCTCATGCTCAACACAGACAAAACACAGGTGAGCTGATATTCACCTTTTATATTGAAGGTAAATGAAAGATCTACAAATTATTCCAAAATATTTTCTTAGATGTTTTACAAGGAAGGAAATGATTCAACACGTTTGTTAGCTTACAAACTGTGTTTTGGTGAGAAACACTGAATGTAAACAGCACTGCTGTTTGTTTACAAGAAACTCCACAGGTCACCTTTAATGTTTTCTGCAGTCACTGTTGATTTTACTCCGACTTTGTATTTCGAAGTTTTCATCTTCTGTTTTACTTTGTTGTCTTTGTGTTTTGTCAAAGCTGCTTTTGTCTAATAAGTTGCATTACTGATCTTTGCAGTCAAACTTTGTTTTTCATCGTCTCTGCTCATGCCATGCATTTGTACATAAATACATTTTTCACAATTAATAATACTCTTCTGTATGATAAACACAAAAGCTGTTCATCACAGCATATTTAATTATTTTCTGAATAAAGCCGCAGTCTGACTCACCAACAGTGAGCTGGATGGAAGCTTCCTTCTGCATTGATTGAAGGAAACAAAAGTATTTTCCTGCATCAGAGATTTTCACACTGAAGATTTTCAGGAAGACGTTTCCTTTAATTAGTTCATCCACAAACAGAGCTGTTCGGAAACGATAAGATGGGTTTTGATGTTCATCCATCATTCTTTCATTTTGGTGAACATGGATGTACTCTGGCTCCAAACCAGGTTTGGTCCACACCACTTTCTCAGAACTGGCGCTGACTGCAGGTTCAAGGTGACATGACAAAATGACATCATCACCAGCCAGTGCTACGATTGGTTGATGTGAACAAATCAACTCTGACTGAGCTGCAAAGAAAACAAAAGTACAACCAAGAAACATGAGCAAAGTTATGTCATTAGTATGGAAGTTTAAATACAAATTAAATGGTGGTAAAAAGTGACACCAAAGGCCCTTGACCAAGCGTCAATATGTGACGAGTCAGGAGTGAGAATGTGTTGGTTTCATGCGGACATTACCTCCAACAGATTGTATTAGAGGAAAGATAAAAAGCAAAACAGTGCAGGTCCTGAAGGAGACTCCATTATTGGACTCTTTCTTTGGAAGCAGCATCCTGGACTCCTGAAAGTAGACAAAAAAAAGTTTAATAAGACTAAAGGCTTATTAATCTGTGAAAAGTGGACAAATGGGACCTTTGTGAACAGGATGGTTATTCTCGATCTGATTTGAGTTTTCTTTGGTTTCACTTCAATTGAATTCAGTGGAACTTTATTGGCATGGGAAACAGACAGTTTCCTCCATTGGTGTTTGGAAATCAATGTTTTCGTGAGACAGAGTGTATCTTAGAAGGGGCATTTAGTCTCAGCACCAGTTGACTCTTTTCTGGGTTCAGCTTTTGGGTTTGGAGGGCTTTGTGATGGAGGGTGTCTCTGGGTCCGGATGAAGCTGGGCTGGTCTAACATGCAGAACTCTGCATGTTAAGATTCTGTAGGATGTTTGCCCCAGCTGTGATGGCTCTGTGGACCCCATGCTTCACTACCGAAACTGTGAGTTGTGATTACTTGGGTGACTTTATACCTAAAGGAGGAGTAAGGTCAACAACAGAGCAGAGAGAGAGAGAGAGAGAGAGAGAGAGAGAGAGAGAGAGAGAGAGAGAGAGAGATGTGCAGGTGTGTGTCTGAAGGGAAGAGCAAGGTGAGATGACTAAAGCAGTTTGTGAGGAAACAAATAATAAAATAAAGTGGAGAAGTATAAATGGTGAGATTAGAAAATACTATAAAATGGCAATAACTTTTAGTCTACCTTTCTACTAATACCAACTACTTTATCCTTGAAGTAGATTTCTGATTTAAGTTGTAAAATACTAAATTTAGGATTACATTGTGATAGTGTTTTATTTACTTAGTGTAAGTAAGTGCACTTCCATCCCTGAACTATAACAAATGAAATCTTTCACTCCATCGTCTGTCAGTTTTACTTTTTAAATAACTGTTATTTACTTTTAAATTAATTTTCCTTTTAAAGTTTGTACAAAGTATAAAAACAGAGGAACACTTTTACATGTGAAAAAAAACAAAATGTCTAAGTAACAATGGAAGTCCCTTTTATATGTACTATTTTTAAATCCATAAAATAATCTAAACATTGTTTAGACAATTATAGAAGGATGAAATGTCCAACATTTAACATTCAAGTATTACTTTAAAAAGCAACTCTTACCTGCAGTGCGATGAATGGTAACTCTGTAGTGTGATGTTTTCTGTTCTGCCTGCATGAAATGTGCAAATAGGAGTACCTCCTTGTGGTGTTTCATAACTTTCACCATTATCCGTTTCTACTTCTCTGAGTCTGTGGTTTTGTTTCACTGTTGATGTTTAATAATATGGAGCTGCTCAAAAGCCCAGTCTGAGTTTTGACCCTAACACGTGTATGTAACTGAATATTGACTTGATAATGAAAAATGAGCAGTTTGTTTCAGTAGTTTTCACGATAAAGTTTAGCCCTGTTCATTCTTTGTTTACTAACATTTACAACATCGTCATGCAGGGACAAATGTTGTAAGACGAAATATTAGCTTAAAGGGATGTATCACTAAAAGTACATGTTGTGCAAGAGGACATCAAAGTATGTAATGTAATAAATACTGTGTAAATAATAAGTTACCCTGTTTACAGAAGTGGATTGATGTGCAAATACTGACTGTATATCTGCAGTTTAAATTATGTTTACACATGCTGTCTACAACACAAACATATTATCTGTTACCAGGGGCGTTTCCAGGCTCTTGAAACATTGGGGGCTTAGCCCAGCACAGAAATCTTTCATGTTTTAACTCCCCCACCCCCCAAAAATTTGGGCTTTGAACACTTAATTTTCTGCATTCTGGTGAATTTCTTTGCACCAATTTATTGAGGAAATGTCTCAGGTGACATTTCAAAATAAGAATATAGTGTAATATAATGCAGTAAGACTGTCAGATATCTTTCTCCTGTAGATCAACTTTTCTCCCAGCTGCTACATACATGCAGGCCTGAAGTAGCCTGAAGTCTTTTCAAATGTGCATATGACACTTTTCTCCTCAATGATAAATTAGTTTAATTAATCTGAATTCAGTTAAGAATTATTAATTGATTAAATTTTCTGGGGTCCCCCCCAAGATTTTGAGAATTAAACACTTAATTTCCTGAATTCTGGAGACATTTTCTGCACCAATATATGGTGGAAATGTCTTTATTTTTTATAAAGGGAAGGAATTTAGCAGGTGACAATTCAGAATATAAAAATATAACAGAATGTAATGCAGTAATCAGTAGCTTATTATTTTTTTAGCTCATATTTCGGTTATATTTCCGCGCATTTGGCAAATTATTTTTTTCGCCCACAACACAAGAAACAGCTCCAGCAGAGGGGGAGGGAGTGGGTGCTGTAAGAAATGTGTAGCCTACTGGATAAGAGGAGCGCACTGCTGTTCATGAGAGGAAGAAAACCTAAACTGAAAACACTTGTGATCAGATAGAAAGGAACTAATCGCTCACCGCTCACATGGGTCCTCCTCAGTCTTTCGTTCATTCGGCAGGCTGAGTGCTGCCAGCGCCGGAGAATGAGAGGCAGGTCGGCTGTCAGGTAAGTCACTGGACTGACATTTAGCTATTTGCTATTTTGTTAATTATATGACATTTAATAAAGCATAACATTATTACAGGACCCATGTGAGCGATGAACAAGGAGTTCCACAGTAGCTGTCACGTGACAAATGAACAACTCAGACCCAGAGAGCCACAGTTGAGAGTTGTGAACTAATCAGTTCTGTTTCCTGTGTTGACGGAGCCCATGCAGCTGCCGTGTGAACACAAGATCCTTCCCGCATGCATGAAAATGAACAAATCACTCACTGAGACAACCTCCCGAGTCATACACACGATTAGGTCTTATGAACAAAATGTTCTTTGAAGGACACAACACTACTTTAGAGGGAATGAAGCATCCTGGAGCAGAGAGACAGTCAAACAGAGCGAAGTGTCTCTGAGGTGTTGGAGAGAGACAGCAGGACACAGAGAACAGGTGTCAATGTCACGGTCAGGTGTGTCATGATATTCTCTGACTACTTTGCGGCGACTGTGAACCGTTTGTGCAGCATAGACCGACAACATTAATATTTAAATGTATTGGTTACAATTTTGCTGGGGACAATTCAGAAGTCGCGGATAAGCCCTGAAGCTGTGAGCAATGCTCGCTCTCTCTCTCTCTATCTCGTGCTCCCTCTTAACGCAGGCAGGCTGACTAATGGTGTGGTTTCGCGTTATGTGAACTTTAAACAAAATGTAGTAATATTATTGAGAGTAGCCTCCGCTCTTTGAAGACCTGTGAGACAGGCTGCATCATGAAGATTAGCCTATTGCATATTAAGATGGAAATTTTTGTTGCTGTTGTTGAGGGGCTACAGTCAAAACATGAAAATGACCTGGCGACGCCGATGTCTGTTACATTAGATGATTGTCTACTGACTGGTGTTCTTACTCTGTCTGAAGTTCTTGTCATGTTGGAGCAGTTTCTTCTATCTCTTGCTGTGACATGTCATTCTTCTGTTACTTTACTCTTTTAAATGTAAATCAACTGATATTTCTCACACAACAAAAAAGGTAATTATTACATCATCTTCATTCAACAAACAATCAGTGCTGCAATTTTTCTTAAAGGAGTACAGTCTCTGATACACTGACTAATGCACATGTCTGCGTATCACAATGCATATCTAAACCCGCTCAGTGGGCAATCCTCAGTCGTGCTTGTACCTGTAGAATAGAGTGAAACTTGGTTAATCAACTTTTATCCATTGGACTAAAAGAAGGAAATAAATAACTGTACTATCTTGAAATAAAAAAGACAAGCAAAATGATACCTTAACCTCCAACCACGTTCTGTGAGTACAGCACACAGCAAGACACCAAAAAATCCTGGAGTTAAGACACCTTTCACATACCTCAACAGGACTCTGAAGACATCAACTGAAGTGATAAATCCCAGAACAACATGGTATTTATAGAAAGCTTAGGATACATTTATGAATCATTTCTAACCTGTAACCTGGATGTGAGTCTCTCTGGTCTGGAGTCTACAGGTGAAGCTGTTGCTGTGTCTCTTCTCCACAGTCACTCTGCTGCTGACAGTATAGAGGTCATCAGGACCTCTGACTGTCTCTGTAGGTCCAGCAGAGAGGAGGTTTCCCTCACCGTCCAGCCAAAACACCTCAGGCTCTGGATCCCAGCCTTCACGCTCACACTGAAACACCACACTGCTGCTGGTTCTGTTCATTAAACTGATGGCAGTTTAGAAAACAGCACATCAAAAGATGTCACTCGAAACATGTTAACAATGTAACACTGTAACCTGATATTTAACCTGGTTTCACACTAAATTAGGCTACTATGTTTCCTAACACCTATATATATAATTAACTTGTTGTATAAAGTAAACAATAAGTCTTGTCTGTCAGAAAGCCTGTTGCGCTCTCTTGTGGTTGAAGTGAAACATTGCAGTGTGGACTTCTGCAGCTCTGCTCCCCTTCTTAATGATCCAGTTTGTGCTCTTCATGTGGATCAAACATGTCTCTTAGTGTCCTTGTTTTTATCTTGTAGATGTGCAGCTGGTGTTTGGGGTGATGGAGGTTACCCCAGCAGTGGAGCTGTTCATAAGGAGACCATTCATGCAGAGGAAGAGGAGATGAGAGAGGATGAAGCAGTTAATGAAGACAACACATGAAGAGCAGTTATGAGCAAAGACAAAGCAAACTGTCCGAGTCTCCGGGAGGATGAACACTTGGATCAGAAACATCTGGATAACATCAGGAGCCATGAACTGACACACAGTCCTGCCATGTCTCCAGTTTGCTCTGCAGAGATGAGTTTTCAAGAGCTTCTTGGAGTTAGAGAGGGACGCCCCTGCTCTGATGGCGTGTGGTAGCTCGTTCCACCATCGTGCTGTCACAGATGAGAACAGCCGGGACTGAGATTGCTTTGTGTGTATGGATGGCAGAGCAAAGTGGTGTTTTGTCAGTGGCCGAGAAGAAAAGCAAGCTTATGTTATGGAGTTTAGGTAGATGGGTGCAGACCCAGTAGTCACTCTGTAGACTGGAGGCCACGGGGAGCCAGTGGAGGTCACTGAGTAATGGAGTGACATGAGTCTTTTTGGGCTGATCAAAAACCAAATGCGCTGCTGCGTTCTGAACCATTTGTAAGGGTTTCACTGCACAAGCTGGAAGACCTGCAAGGAGGGCATTGCAATAGTCGAGGCTAGAGATAACCATGGCCTGTACCAGAAGCTGGGTGGCGTACTGAGTGAGGTAGGGCCTGATTTTCCTTATGTTGTATAGAGCAAAGCGGCATGACCGAGAGACAGCAGCAACATGGTACGAAAAGGACAGCTGGTCATCAATCATGACACCCAAGTTTCTCACCACCTTGGTTGGAGTGATAGTTGAGGAGTCAATTTGTAGTTTGATGTTATGGTGGATAGATTTCTTGGCTGGACCAAGAGAAATGTCTTAGAGAGGTTTAGTTGAAGGTGGCAAGCCTTCATCCATGCAGATAAGTCCAAGAGACAATCCGTGATCCACGCCGAGACGGTGGGATCGTTTGGATAAGTAGAGCTGCGTATTGTCTGCGGACTTTGAATTTGTTCTTAAGTACAGTTCTTGAGTAAATGTACATAATGTTTCTGCTAAAAGCTACTTCCTCTGACTCTACATTATTAGAATGAAGTGGTTCACGTAGCTCCTGTTAACTGTCAGTTATTAATTTTAGACCATTTATTGATCAGTTTGTTTGGTCGTTCGTCATCCAGCTACTTGTGAAGCCGTATGATAAAGCCAGAGGGCGTTTAATTTGAGTTTCAGAAATATTAATTTACCACTGGAAACAAACAAACATGAATTTCCAGGTTTCCTGGAGCTCCACAGACTTCCTCCACATACATACAGAGGCTCTTGTAGAGAAACCTCCAAAAAAAGGTTGGCTGATGATGATCCAAGCTCTTCCGGTTTCAGGTTTCTTTTGAGAGGTGGTGTCTTGGGTCTTTGAGAGGCATTTGTGGGTCTCAGGGAGGTTCCAGGACACTTGACAGACACAGTAAAAGTCCTGCATTCAAAACTTTACTTAAGTAAAAGTACAAAGGTACTTCATTAAAAAGTACTCATTAAGATAAACACTTCCATACCACATAAAACATGAAGTTAATCACATCAAACTGCTATACACCCGGATGGCTCTTGTAGTCCAATAATTAGAATTTTACAGGAACCATTATCATGTATGCACATGATCGATTTCTTCTTGTGCTTGAGGAGATGAATCACAGCTGACCAGGTGTACTGACAAACCCTTGGTGCTACACAGTTATAATCACACAATGAATGACCCATAGGTGGTGATAAAGTATTGTTGTTTAAAACCTGTTGTGCTGATAATTGGTTAAGCCCGATGTCCCAAATTATTGTTATACTTGTCAATCCTCTACTCTCAGGTCAGGCTTCAGGGTGTTTACACTGATAACTGAAGTGGACTAACAGGTTTCTGCAGAGGAGCACATGGAAGCTTTTTAGGTGTAAATTCACCATCACATCCAGAGACCAGAGGCACATTGTTGAAAACCAGGGTTTAAAGCAAGTCACTTGCATGTTTTTTTTCATGTAAATCAGACATACAGAAATTATGAGTGATCAGTTCGTCGTCACCAAAACCTCGACCTCTGCAGCCTAGACAGCTTTCAATACACAATAAACACAGCAGATGGCGCCATACAAAAGGTCAGCTGCCGTTATTTGATCATTTCAGTTTAAAATCAAAATCTCTGCTCTTAGCTTTGTGACAATTTTCCAGCTGATCCAAGCTTGAATTGATCAGTTACAGCAATAGTAAATTTTGTTTGCAAAACTGATATAAAAGTTCAAGAAGCAATAAATGGGATGTCAGAAAATTAAATGTAACCTGCAAAGTCCAGCTGAGTCTGTTTTTGACAGAAGCCAAGTCAAGCAGCACAGAGCAGATTAACTGGGCAGGAAGTCGAACACAGAACAGTGTGAGAATCTGGTCTATGTTCACACCAGAATCAGAAGCATCCTAGATGTGTTTTCCAAAATAAAACAGACTTGGGGTTGCACAACTTCAGATTTTTTGCAGTCGACAGTTATGTGATGAAAGTCGAGTCTACGTTGACTAATCGCTGATGACATCATTAATAAAACCACAGTAGAAGGGAATTCTCTGCAACAAGCTACGATCTGTATTTCCAACATGTAATGTATATGCTAACAAACAGACAGGTGACAGCTCATGCACATCTACACAGATCTATGCAGAAATCTGTCCTGGTTATGGGTCTACCACTGCCGCGGCTCTATGGTGGGAATATGCAGTATTAATAAATCACAGAACTCCTCAGCTGCGATGAAGTGGCGTCCTGCTTTCCTCCGCTTTAGCATTGTGGCCCTAAAAGTTGCGCAAAATCTTGCTCAAGCTTGGCTTTTCTCCCAGTTACTGGCTCACCTTCAGTATCAACAGAGTCCTCGTTTTGGACAACCTCACCTAAGATGAAGATGAATAACCAGGATTACCATATATGCGCATATTATAACTTAAAGCAAAAGCCTTGGCCAATAGTTGCAGCACTGGACTTAGCTCCCATTGTGATGCTCTCATGGCGAGTGACTTCTGGACGCTCGGTTTGGTGACCGCTTCATCCGTGAGCACAGACTGCACTGCCGTCCTGTGTTCGAAAAGCTGCTGGAGCATGATGACCATAGAATTCCTCCAGACTGGTCCGTCAGTCTGGAGTTTGTTGGCTCTTCTGTTCCTGCCATTTCTGAGGGCGCTAGTTGCCACTGCTGAGTGGTGAAAGTGGCTGACAACTCTCCTTGCTACTTTGATAGCCTTCATCACATCAAGACTAATCAAGCCGGTATTGCCAGTTGTAGAGTGTGCCCGGTGCATGCCAGATCTTTCATCTCCACAGTTCTTCCTGTTGTATCATGAGGGCATCTTATTTCTGTCCATCCTCTTCACTGACTGAAGCGTCCTCTCCAGTTCCTCTTCTCCATTTTCACATTTTTTATTTTATAAATTTTTCAATTTGTTCTTTTCTCCTCTCTTTTCCTTTCTCTGTTGGTGTGCACTCTCTCTTTGTTCCCCATCTGTTCTCTGGTTTGCCCAGTCAATGTGGATAACTCTGGACTGTCAGACTTAATCACCTGGTTCCTCCTGGTCCCTGTGTGCCAACAGAAGAAGAAATTTGTTAAGTCTGTGTTCATGTAGTTTTGTCTTAAAAAAGAAAACATGTTAAAATGAGAAACTAAAGCGAAAGAAAATATTTTACATCTAAATGACAGGAGAAAAGACATTTTCTTTACAGGTACAACATTTAAGTTTTCATTCTAACACGAGGAACAAAGCATCTGAGACGAGTGCCACTTCTTTATTTTCTTCTCCTTAGACCCCAAATTATGGTGGATGTTCTTGTTCCACTGATCTCCCCCTCCTCTGTAACAGGCTCCCAGACCAACCAGTAAAGCAGGTATCAAGGTATCCAGCACTCTGTGGTGTTGGATGAGTGCTACCTCTGCACCACATTTTATATTTCTTATTCTGTTATATCAAAGCGTATTTTAATATTAAATCATGGATATGCTATTATCTATTGATACTTTTGAATTCACCCTACATGTCATTATATAGCCAACCGTGAGCTCTGACAGTAACACAAAAATGGAAATTAACATGTGACTTACGTTGCGGCCTTTTTGTCCATGCGATAATAAACACTAAGACGCCAATTCCAAGACTAATGATGATGCTCCAAATGCAATTCCAACAATTCAGATCATTGAAGAAACCAGCTGAAATGACACAAACCAGAACAGCATGACGCTTTTTTAATCAAGCTACAACAGTTTAAACAAAACAGTGGTATTTTGTATAATTTATACAAAACTCTTTCTAACCTGTAACCTGGATGTGAGTCTCTCTGGTCTGGTTGACGTCCTTCTGTTGGACTCTACAGGTGAAGCTGTTGCTGTGTCTCTTCTCCACAGTCACTCTGCTGCTGACAGTATAGAGGTCATCAGGACCTCTGACTGTCTCTGTAGGTCCAGCAGAGAGGAGGTTTCCCTCACTGTCCAGCCAAAACACCTCAGGCTCTGGATACCAGCCTGCAGACTCACACTGTAACACCACACTGCTGCTGTTATCTGAGACAACCTGTATGATGGGCGAGGAGACAGCACCTGAGGAGGAGAGAGGAGCAATTAGGACAGTGGGTTTAGATCAAATACTTCACTTGTTACTGATATGCATTATTGTTCAAACTAAATTAGAAGCACATTTTAGGGAAAGACCAAGCAAGCAACGTATTTTAAATCTTTACAAACATGTTGAATGTATTTGCTCCCTCTTAAAACATCTACTGCACTGCTGCCTTAATAACAAATCTTCACCATCAGCTGTTATTACGTGGAATATAAAGGCACCCTGTGGTGTGTTTGACCACTGTGGGTCCCTGTTTGGTTTATCTTGTGCAGGGGACTTGAAGCACAATGCTGCCAGTGGTTTCACATTGTTCCACTGATCAAAAGGTGGCAGTACAGTGCCAAGAAACAGCACTGGACCAGCAAAGGGAGGAAGAAGAAGACTGCTGAAGACCTAACATGGCTGAACCTGAACACAATAAAAGTTTCAAAATATTCAGTGAATCAGCTTCGCAAATGTTTTATAAGGAAGGAAATTATTCAACATGTTAGACTTCAGGGAAACACAATGTGTTTTGTTGAGTTTTAAATTTTGTGTAACATCTTCTGCCTGTTTTACTTTGTGTTCTTTGTGTTTCATCAAAGCTGCTTACTTTCAGTACAAAGTTGTGTTGTCTCTGTGCTTGTGGCAGCTTGTAGAATATACAGCAGTCAGTCATAACAGTATGATCACCTGCTCATCATAATGAATGTCTCTCTTTTGCCACCAAAACGGCCCTGACCCCTCAAGGCATGGACTCCACTGTGTGTTCTGACACCTTTCTATCAGAACCAGCATCAATATTTTAAGCAATTTGACCAACAGTATGTGGACTGGACACATTGGACTAGACTTCGCTCTCCACATGCATCAATGAGCCTTGCCCGCCCATTAACCCTGGAGTCAGGTCACGTCTTTTCCTTCCTTGGGCCACTGTTGATAGGTACTGACCACTGCGGGCAGTTTTAGAGATGCTCTGACCCGGTCATCTAACCATCACAATTTGACAAGTTGTTAAGGGTCAAGCGCTGCAACACAGAGGGCTTTGGTCGGCCTGTCAACGCCTTTAAGACTAATGTAGTTAGCTAGCTACTCACAGTGAGGTCCTAGACCTGTGCTTCTGGTCTACTCTGTGAAAGCCCAGGGCTTCTCCAGACACTGAAGGGTACCTTTTGTGTCAAAAACAGAGATTTTGTCAGGCTTTCTGAAAGCATCGGTATTTGATGTACTGATATAATCCCACCCATTGACAGGTGCCCTGATAACGAGATTTCAGTTCCCCTGTCAGTGGTCATAATGTTACGGCTGATCGGTGTATGATACAAACTAAAGCAGTGCACCACAGGATAATTAATTATTATCTGAATAAAGCTGCAGTCTGACTCACCAACAGTGAGCTGGATGGAAGCTTCCTTCTGCAATGATTGAAGGAAACAAAAGTATTTTCCTGCATCAGAGATTTTTACACTGAAGATTTTCAGGGAGACGTTTCCTTTAATCAGCTCATCCACAAACAGTCTGGTACGATAATTATAAGATGGATTTTGACTTTGATACATCAGTCGTCCATCTTGGTGAAGATGGATGTACTCTGGGTCCAAACCAGGTTTGGTCCACACCACTGTCTCAGAACTGGCGCTGACTGCAGGTTCAAGGTGACATGGCAAAATGACATCATCACCAGCCAGTGCTACGATTGGTTGATGTGAACAAATCAACGCTGACTGAGCTGCAAAGAAAACAAAACAACAAACAGCAGCATAGTTTTATTCATGTCATCGAAATAATTAAAAGTATGAAATGATCAATTAAATCTCTCTCAGCTGCATTAAAAACAGGGAACAGATCATCTAAATCCTGAAAGTTTTGTGTAGATTATGTTACATCGACCACTGGAGCCTCAGAGTCTGTATCTGACTCACACTCATCACTTTTTTTTAGCTTCAATCACATTTATACTATAGAGCAGCAGAATTGGTGAAATCTTTTTGGTTTCTGTTTCTTCTTCTTCTGACATTATATCTAACAGTAAAAAGTCTGAGAGAGTAATTGTTTTCTTTATCAGGGTGAAGTTCAGCAACAACTTGTCAATGGCAGTGAAAATATAAAAAGCAGATGATGCTCTGAATCTGATTGTATGAAGAAATTTAAATTCAGAATGGTCCCTGACTTTTCCTCTAGCACCACATGCAGGTCCAAATGTTTGGTCTCAAAAAGTAATGGGTGGATTAACATTAAAAAGTAATTCCCATCATCCACAGCTGTACTTGGGTTTAGCTAAAGTACAAGATGGCTAAGATGGTGAACAAGGTACAAGTATACCTACTACAAATCACTGACTGCGGTTGAAAAGTCAAAACAAAAACTTCCTTTCAGAATCAGAAGGAGCTTTATTGCCAAGTAGTGTTTTACACATAAGGGGAATTTGCTTTCCTAATTCACTATGCTATGTTTTTCAAGACTCCTCCAAACTAGACGGATTTGATAGAAGAAATCTATATTTATGGTTTTGGAGCTCAGCATACAAGGATTTCTATCACTTTTAGATTGTGTCACAACCATAAAACAGGTGCTCTGACTGAAGCCCCTGTCATTGTTTGCATATTTGCATTAGCATTAATTTTTACTGCCTCTTCTGACCAAGTTATTGTAACAGAAATGGATTCCTTTTTTGTTGAGTTGTGTCTTTAATGTGTTACTGGAGTGTTTTGTACTGAAATTACCTCCAACAGACTCTATTAGAAGAATGATGAACAGTAAAACACTGCAGGTCCTGAAGGACACTCCATCACTGGACTTGAATGCAGCATCCTGAAAGATTTTTTTTTTAAGTTTAAAAAGACAAAAGGCTCATTAATCATGTTGTTTTAATTACTAATTACACAAAGAAAACACATCTTAATGGGAAATTATCACGTTTCTGAAACAAACCCAGACAGTCTGGTAATGATCTGATTCTTCCCCTCCTGTACAGCAGCCTTTGTACTTTGAAGACTTTTTTTTTTTTTAATTATCACAGTCTTGTAATAATGTGGCACTAAAAAGAGAAAGAATGATTTTAACTCCCATCTCTCATGATGTTGTGATAGATCATCACTTTAGGAAGAATTACAGTGACCAATAAGACTTTCAGTGTACATAAGGGCACATGAGTAAGACGGACGTATCCTTTAAAGCTTGAAGCTGGTGCTTCTCACTGTCACACAAGCTTTCTGATTTAATGAAATTTCTCCATTTGAACAAGCCATTCTGAAATATCAGTGTGATTTGACAAAGTTTTCATAAAGATTATCCATCCATCTTCATTCGCTTATCCGGGGTCGGGTCGCGGGACATAAAGATTATGAGATATCCAATGTTTGATATTTGAGTTTTACTTTAAAGAGCAACATTTAACCTGCAATACAACAACTGGCAAATATTCAGAAGAAAATTTGCATACAGGTGGCTGTAACTCCGGTACCTTTATCCAGAGATGGGGACTGGAGTTAGAGACTCGGACTCGAGTGCGACTTAAGTCGCACACAAAGTGACTTCAGACTCGACTTGAGACTCGTCCTCAAAAGACTTCAGACACATTCATCACAAACTTTGGCTTTAAAACTTCATAAAACAAGACCCAATCAAAGACGCGCTGAATGCAAATAGGTTAGTAACCTGTGGTGAGTAAACATGTTTAGCTCTAGATCTAACGTTAGCTTGCATCTTGCTTCAGCTACGACCTACAAGAGGTTACCCAGCAAGCAATAGTAGTCATTTCACCGTCTTCATTAGAATGATAATTAGAAATATACTGTATTTTTTCATTTAAAATCATTTGACGATAGTAGTCATGTCTTATGGGAAAACAGTCAACATAGTCAAATTATAATGTTTACTTATATTCATATTCTTACATATTCAACAGTTATGGATCCCTTTTCCCCGAGAGACTGGTGCCAACTGAGAGACCCATCATGTTGTATTATCTTAAGTTGTCTACTTTGTAATCCTTTTTCTTAATAAAATCTTTACATTTACTTTGTTTGGACAGATTTGTGAGAACCTGTTTTGTTTGAGTAAAAACAATCTTTTAGCCACTATTCTGTTGTCTATTAGAGGTAGATATGTAGTCATTTAAAAGCTGTGTATTTGGTCTATTCTTGGGCTGTGGTTAGACATCTATTAACTTTTCACTGACAGCCCAAATTCAGCCCTGTTTTAGCCTAGATGTCTGGGCCCTGTTTAGATGTCTTTTAACTGTGAAATTTCTTGCTGGGTAACTCAACTGTCCTTCGTTATTAGTTTGTTTATTTGCCAAACTTGTGGTGGACGATTAACGTAATCGTTTACGTCCCGCTGGCTGCCATCACCTTAATTATTGCCGTTGGCTAGAAAGAGGTTACAGGTTTATTGTTGATCGTGAAACCTTAGTTTTATTTAGTCATAACATTGCACTGGTTTGAGAGTCTGCAGGGTTTGTTGACTTACAGTAGTTTAAGCTGCCATTGATTGCATTGCACATTACGGTTGTGCTCTGTAAGTTAAAAACAGGTTTATTGTTGATTATGCAACGTCACAGTTTAATTTAGTGAACATTACACTGGGTTTAAGAGTCTGGTAAAACACTTACCACTTACCACTTAATAACTCATTAACTAACTGACTTAATAACTCAATAATTGAATTGTACATTACATGGTTGTGCTCTGTAAATGAAAAACAGGTTACAGTTACAGAATTCCTTATAGCTCTGTAGTTTTATAAGCAACCTGGATTGAACGCAGCAGGTGATACAACATTCATTATAACCACGAGAGACTGGAGACTTGACTTGGACTCTGGCTCAAAGACTTGTGAGCATCCCTACCTAATTTATTCTCTCCCCCTCTCTCTTCAACATTGAAAATATAATGATTAAAAATATGTATCCTATTTAATAAGATTGTTTCAATAGTCAACGATTTTCAACGTATGATAAACAACACTTAACGTAAAAGTTTAACTTTAAAATGTAACTTCGCCTACCTGCATCATGGGGACTGTTAATTCAGCTGTTTTGTGCTTGAGAAATTAGGGAGTCACGTTTCAGCAAGCGGGACACCGAGGCAACGACTCAGACAGGAGGAATAATAAAAAGAAAACAATGTGGATAGACCACAAGTAGGTGGGGGTGGGGGCAGGGCGTGATGATTGTTGGATAGATATCAGGTACGCCTTTTTGAAACTGGACCCTCTCCACTTCCACTCTGTCACGGTTGGAGTCACCTTCACAGCCAAATGGAGCTCCCTTACCTGCGTAGGATGGCCAACTTACGGAGAGAGAAACCACTCCCATAAAGACAACACTGAATCAAAATAATTTAAAGTATGAAATAATTAATTAAATCTCTCTGTAGGAGCCATTTATTTATGTTTATTGTTGGCATGAAGGGTGAAGGGTGAAGTTCAGCAACAACTTGTCATTGGCAGTGAAAATTAAAAAGCTCTGAATCTGATTTAATTTACTAAATTTAGTGTCTGCCCAGCTCAAACACTGAAGGCAGGGAGATTCTGACAGAGGCATACACTGTACTTTGTGTTTACCTTTGCTTAGCAAATTTTTAAATGGCATTTAAATTAACCCTCATTGAGATGTGACAAAGGTTTCATGCAGCATCTGTAAAATAACGGGGACAGCTGTGACCAGGGACATGCACAGAGGCTATATCTTGTAAAGATCTATCAGCACACAACAAACTAATAGAAGAGAGAATTATTAGGCAAGGCAAGTTTATTTGTATAGCACATTTCAACAACAATGTCATTCAAAGTGCTTTACATAAAACATAAAAGCAACAGGGAAATATAAAAAAGTTTAAAAGCAACATAAGGAAATAAAAAAAAATACACATATACAAAAATAATAATAATAAAAGCAATGGTAAAAAGCTAAAAACAAAGAAAAAGAAAACAATACTGTAAATGTTACAGTGCAGTGTAAGTTATCAATCTACTAGTTAAAGACAGTGGTAAAAAGAAAAATCTTCAGTCTTAATTTAAAAGAACTGACAGTTTCAGCAGACCTGCAGTTATCTCGGAGTTTGTTCCAGATATACGGAGCATAATAACTGAACTTGTTTCGATTTGACTCTGGGGACAGAAAGCAAACCTGCCCCAGACGACCTGAGAGGTCTGGATGGTTCATAACAAAGCAGAAGATCAGAAATGTATTTTGGCCCTAAACCATTTAGTGCTTTATAAACTAACTGGAGGATTTTGAAATCAATTCTTTGACATACATGAAGCCAATGTGAAGACCTCAGAACTGGAGTGATGTGATCCACCTTTTTGGTCTTAGTGAGGACTCGAGCAGCAGCGTTCTGAATCAGCTGCAGCTGTCTGATGGATTTCTTAGGGAGCCCTGTAAGGACGCTGACAGTAGTCGAGTCAACTGAAGATAAATGCATGGATAAGCTTTTCCAGGTCTTGCTGATTTCTGGCTTGATTTGTGGTTCTTAACATTACAGATTGAAGTCGAGCACTGACTTTCAATCGCTCCTCCCTGATTCCAAAAACAATAACTTCAGTTTTCTTCAATCTTTGTTCAATTGAAGAAAATTCTGGCACATCCAGCCGTTGACCTGCTCAATACAGTTACTCAGCACCCGTATGCGATCATAGTCCCCTGGTGAAATGGTTATGTAAATCTGTGTGTCATCTGCATAATTATGGTAACATATTTTGTTGTTTTTCATAATCTGAGCCAGTGGAAGCATGTAAATGCTAAACAAAACAGGTCCCAGAATGGAGCCTTGGGGAACTCCGCATGTAATTTTTTGATTACCTATAGACACAAAGTAGTCCCTGTCCTTTAAGTAGGATTCAAACCAGTTTAGTACTGTGCCAGAAAGTCCAACCCAGTTTTCAACTCTGTCTAGTAATATGTTGTGGTCGACCGTGTTGAATGCAGCACTGAGATCCAATAATACTAAGACTGAAATTCTGCCACTTTCAGTGTTTAAATGGATGCCATTGAAGACCTTAACAAGAGCCGTCTCAGTGCTGTGGTGTGGTCAAAAACCTGACTGGAAGACATCAAAACAGTTATTTAGTGTCAAGAAAGCACTAAGCTATTGAAAACAGCCTTTTCAATGATTTTACTTAAAAATGGGAGATTTGTTATGGGCCTATAACTGCTCATTAGTGACCTGTCTAGATTGCTCTTTTTTAAGAGTGGCTTAATGACTGCAGTTTTCAGGGCCTGTGGGAAAAAAACTGAGAGGAGAGATATGTTGACAATTTGTAGTAGATCTGAAGCCATGCATTTAGAAACATTTTGGTAAATAACCTGTTGGCAGAATATCAAGGCAGCATGAAGAGGATTTCAGATGTTGTATTATGTCCTCCAGGTTTTTATGGATAATAGAATCAAATTGTCTCATGCTATATAAATTGTTTTTGAGTGGACAAGACATATCCTGTTACTGACATGGAGGCACTGATTGCTTGTCTAATTGTTTGAATTTTGTCTGTGAAGAAAGAGGCAAATTCATTGCAGGCCCTGGTGGACAGAAGTTCAGAGGCTACAGACACAAGAGGGTTGGTTAGCCTGTCGACAGCAGCAAACAGGATATGTGCATTATTAGTGTTTTTGGTGATGATGTCAGAGAAGAAGGACAGCCTTGCATTTCTCAGTTCTAAATTATAAATGTGAAGTCTCTCTTTATAGATGTCATAATGAACCTGGAGATTTGTTTTCCGCCACCTGCGTTCAGCTTTTCGACGCTGTCTTTTTTGAGTTCTAACCAGCGTGGCATTTCTCATGGAGATCTTCTCTTACCAGAGACCACCTTCACCTTGGCTGGTGCAATGGCATCAATAACATTTGTAATTTTAGAACTGAAATTATCTACAAGCTCATTGACTGAGACCCGTGAGAGGGCGGGTGTCGAGGAGAAAGCCTCAATAAATTTTCCACAAGTGTTTTCAGTGATATGCCGTTTTGTGATTACCTCTGTTTGTACATTTGTGTGCACGCAGAGAGCACTCTCAAAGAAAACACAGGAATGATCAGAGAGAGCAATCAGTCACCACAGCCTTAGAAATGTTCAGAACCTTGGAGATGAAGTCCAAAGTGTGCCCCTCATTGTGTGTGGGCTCTGTCACATGTTGGGTCAGTCCATAAATATCAAGAACACAACACAGCTCTTTAGTCCCTTTGTCCTGGGGGTTGTCAACATGGATGTTAAAATCACCAACAATAACCACACAGTCAAAGTCAACACAGATTATAGAAAGCAGTTCACCAAAGTCATCAAAAAAGTTTGCACAGTATTTAGGGGGCCTGTAGATATTTAGAAAAATAGCTTGAGAAGAGGAATTCAGCTGAAGAGCCACATATTCAAAAGAAGCAAAATTCCCGTAAGACATCTTTATGCATTGGAGGGAGTCATTAAACAAAATGGCAACTCCATCTCCTCTCTTATGCACTCTAGCTTCACTTATGAAACACTAAAATCACTGAATAAAAATGTATTTCCTGCCAAAGACCTAACCTTTAACAAAGGTAATTTTAGTGTGTTAAAAACTAAAGGTGAGAAGCCTCTGACATTTCTCCGTGTGTTGTTGCATGTGTATTTCAGACCCGTGTGTGCCTACTAATAACAATAATAGATTTCAACTGCAGTGTCTCGATGCAGGGGCATCTGCATCTGAGTCAAACGCACACTTCCCTTTTTCACATTAACCTAGCAAACTGTAACATGTAGGCACACGTCTTTATTCCTCCACTGCTCTGAACTAACTCAGGTGAACTAGAGCATTAACCATGCCCCCTCACAGGGATATTAAAAACGAAACCAGTGAACATTAACCATCACACTAAGCCACTATACCTACTCCATTAGAAAACACTACAGCCATTTGAATAGTAATATTGTGACTATTATCAGACAAGGCGTTAACAACACAACATCTGAACCTTTCTAACAATACCAGAGTGAGAACATTGAATTCCGCCTTGTGGGATTAATAAAGTATGTCGTCTTCTTCTTCTGTTGTTTGTTTGTTTATCCTATTCACCTGCAGTGCCTAGTCAAATGTATGCAAATAATTAAAGTCTGATTTGCATATCAATGTGTCAGTTATGATGAAATATTTTACTTTATTCACCTGTTGTGTCTCCATTAAGTAAAGTACATTAGCCTGTATGGACATATGACTTAGCTAAACTTGCATGTCAGCAGGACACAAGTTACCTGTATTTTTCTGTTCAATTATGAGGTGTAAACTGGAGGCACTGGTAGCTTAATCTGTTGTTCATCACCACTCACCGCCATAAAAGCCAAAAAAACACATCTAGGAGAGTAGCTGGGAGGAGCACCGCAGAAAAAAAGAGCACTTCCTCTTGAGGTAGAAAAAGGAAAAAGTCCAGCTGCAGCCCGCAGACAAACGTGTCGGAAGTTGAACTTCCATATACGGTTCATCCCAGAAGCCACCACACGTAAAACGTGTTTATTATTTGTTCCAAAGTGATTTTAAGTTTCACGAACCAAGAATATTCTGTACATTACAACCTAATTACGACTAAACCTGAGTTATTGATTGTCGCATGTCAACTGGTTAACCCTACAGCGGCGCACATTAACCTCCATCTTGTTGCTGTGCAGCCTCCAGGAAACGTTAATGCAGCTATAATATTGACACAAGTTGACACCATGGTCGACACAAAAACATTTGAACACATTTTTGATTCACCATCAATTTTTGTAAAACTGCCAATATTTGTAATCTACCCAGTGATTTCTCAAAACTTCTCAGAAGTGTATTTAAAGTTCTGTTGTTGGCCTCTAAACACTTTGCATCAGGATCTATCCTGTACGTGGGCCGAGATCAATGTCATCACATTTTGAGCGCGGTGGATTCTGGGACAAACCATATTTGGAAGATCAACTTCCGTCTGCGGGCTGCAGCTGGATATACTTGAGAAAAAGGGCAGGTGCTTTGGATGTCTATGTGTGCACGTGCTTGGCTGTCATATGTTAAAACATCAATAATTACAACAACACACATGGAGAAAACCCTTGAATGTGAGAATATACAGTGAATATATGTGATACTGTACAGTGATGTACCTGTGCAAACAAGTCCAGTTCAGTCCAGAGCTTTCAGTGCATTCAGATCAGAATGGGGTCTCATGGGGGTGTTAAGTGTTCGTCTGACAGCTGAAGGAAAGAAGCGGGTTTTTTGACGAGTAGTTTTGGTTGATACCTGTAGCACCTTCCACACGGGAGAAGCTGGAAGTGGTGAGAGAGAGTTCCTTGGTTATTTTAGCTGCCCAGTTAAAGGTGTGCTTAATCCACCATGAGGAGGGGGGAGGTCACAACCGATTAAAGGTTCAGTGTGTAAAGTGCTAAATAACAGGTGTGGTCCTCCATTTATCCAAATTTCACTTTTATCTAATAAACCAGACAACTAAACTACAACAACTACTACTTATTCTTCTACCACTACTGCTGCTTCTACTTCACATGTATTCAATGTACGATGAGCATCTACACTACCGGGATTCTACAAGAAGAAGAACATACACTCTTAACCCGAATTAGTTGACTTTACTCGCAAATCACGTGGAAACCCGTTGCCTTAAACCACTTTAGTTTTTACACAGGATGAAACTAAACAAGTTGAGTTGTATTAACATGGAACCCTAACTTTTTACACAGGATGAAACTAAACATGTTGAGTTGTATTAACATGGAACCCTAACTTTTTACACAAGATGAAACTAAACATGTTGAGTTGTATTAACATGGAACCCTAACTTTTTACACAGGATGAAACTAAACATGTTGAGTTGTATTAACATGGAACTTTAAGTTTAGTATTTATATTTATTAGTAGTGTGTTCTCAAAATCATTAGATAAAACTAGCTATTATGACTTGTTATTGCTACTCATCATTTAACACAATTACTGTATTTTCCTCTAAATTAATTAGCTTTTGATTTTTAAAACAAATATTTTATAAAAAATTTTCAATTAAATTGGATGGATGGAAAAAAAAACACCTCTTAATGTTTCCATGCATTTTATTTTATTTTTAAATGGCAAAACACAGCCAAACATCAGGTAAACATCAACAATCAAAACATCAATTATCCAATCTAAAATGATTAATCTTAAAAAGGTCATTTCAAATCATTGAAACAATTGTGTGTGGATGTTGTCTGTGTGTGGGTGTTGTCTGTGGGTGTTGTCCGTGTCTGTGTTGCCTTGTGTGTGGGTGTTGTCTGTGTGTGTGGGTGTTGCCTGTGTCTGTGGGTGTTGCCTTGTGTGTGTGGGTGTTGCCTTGTGTGTGTGGGTGTTGCCTTGTGGGTGTGGGTGTTGCCTTGTGGGTGTGGGTGTTGCCTTGTGTGTGGGTGTTGCCTTGTGTCTGTGGGTGTTGCCTTGTGTCTGTGGGTGTTGCCTGTGTCTGTGGGTGTTGCCTGTGTCTGTGGGTGTTGCCTGTGTCTGTGGGTGTTGCCTGTGTCTGTGGGTGTTGCCCTGTGTCTGTGGGTGTTGCCCTGTGTCTGTGGGTGTTGCCCTGTGTCTGTGGGTGTTGCCTTGTGTGTGTGGGTGTTGTCCGTGTGTGTTGCCCGTGTGTGGGTGTTGTATGTGTGTGTTGCCCGTGTCTGTGTTGCCGTGTGTGTTGCCCGTGTCTGTGTTGCCTTGTGTGTGTGGGTGTTGTCCGTGTGTGTTGCCCGTGTGTGGGTGTTGTCCGTGTGTGTTGCCCGTGTGTGGGTGTTGTATGTGTGTGTTGCCCGTGTCTGTGTTGCCGTGTGTGTTGCCCGTGTCTGTGTTGCCGTGTGTGGGTGTATGTGTCTCTAATTTACAAGATAAAACCATAGATGTCCCCTGAGTGGTAAATCCATAAACAAAATAAAATTTACCAGAAACACCCACTCAAATGTACAAGAAAACGCAAACAAACAGGATCTGTTCTGATCATCTGCCTAAATGAAGGAAGGACAGAGCATGAACCAACAGACTATCATATCAGAACAATCTACATAGACTGGTGAAGAACTAGAACAATAATGTCTTAGGCCTATGTCTTTCTGCTACAACTCCTCTCAGTTTTAATTTTCACACAAGTCACATCCTTCAGCATGATTCCTACAGCAATTAAGGGTGTCAGTGTTGTTTGTGTGTGTTGTGTGTGGGTGTTGTACGTGTGTGTCTGCATTTTACGTGTGTCTGTTCGTCTGCTTGTTTTACAGAAAATAAAAAGGTTTACCCCACAGGTAAGAAAGTATTTTACTAGTGTGGCAAAAAGAAAAATGTAGTCAACCGCCTCTTACAGTAGACTTGACCTCTCTTTTTACATTGCGAGCTGATTTTTCAAACTCTGTAGCTTTGGCTTTAGGTCAGTCTGGCCTAACAATAACAATACCTGTTGGATGAACTGAAATGTGAGCTTCATGGTCTTGGGGTAGTAAAGATGAAGTGCATACATGAGTCCAAATGCACATTGCTTTTGGCAGATCTTGAATGTTCTCCATTACAACTTCTCCCTCAATGACGATTTTCAACGAGGCTGGACTGAGATGCTGGGAAGACGTGAGCACAGCACCTTCACGCTCAATAAGAAGAATCCCAACGTCAAGGTCACGAAAATAATCATCATCATCAGATTCCTAAATAAAGAATAACAGAAGAGCACAATCATTACATTATATTTCTCATTTGAAAAACAACTTTAATCAATATAAGAGTGTCATGGTGAAAAATAAATAATGGTAAAAAATATAAGAAAGCAAGAGCTTACTTACAAAGCTTGCTTTGAAGAAGTTTGTAGGGTTGTCCCCAAGGATGATAGGAAGCCCTCTGAGCACTTGTGTCCGGATCGTAGTTGGCTCTGTAGTCTTTTGAGAATTAAACACAGTACAACAAGTTAGCTAGCTAAAATAAAAAACAAATAATGATCTATAAGAAAGCTTAAAAAAAACAAGCAATGTTTTGATTGAATTATACAACTAATAGAGTAGCATTGTGATATGATGTTTATACAAAACCTGAGATAAACAACGCCAAGTACAGAATGTGTATGGACTTGCATTGGTCTGTTGTGAAATCTGTGTCAACAACTGTCCAACATTCCCTCTCTTGGATTGAAATAACTCCAGGAGACGAGGACTGTGCCGGTCGATGCTCTCATAGAACTCCTGTTTGAGGTTCTTGCCCACAATCCTGCTGAACTCCATGAACACCTGAAAAATACAGAGAACAAAAAAACTGAACTTAGATCAACTGAACTATACAAGGCAGCTAAGCCATCTGCAAAGTAGTGCTGAAAAACATCATGAATGTCCTTTTTATATGATTTGCAATGTTGATGAAAAACATCATGCCCCAAATTAAAAATACCAATGTTTTCCTTAAAGAGGACAAGAGAAATATACATCTAGACACAATATATAATAATAGAAAGATAGTTATTTGTTATGTTCTTTCTTAAACATACTTGATCTTCAGTGAAAAGGGCAGGCCAGCGTTTCACCATCGTGCTTATAGCGGGTTCCGACTCCACTACCTCTTTTCTTCTCAGAGAAAAAGTCTGATCCATCTTCTGTTTCACAAGAGGTCCATTTGGTGTTCTCTTCTGCATTTCATTAACCAAGTCTTTACAGGCCCCCTCCAGTGCTGCCTGATCAAATCCATCCGGAAAGTTGGGCAAGTAGTTGATTTCACCTTTGTTTGCCTTCTTGATGCGCTTGTTAGCTGGTTGTCCTGCTGAATGCCTTCCCCGCTTACCTGCATTTACTGAAACATCAAGGCATCCTGATTGCCTACGCTTTGTTCGATAATTACCCATTTTATGCTTAAGGCTATTTTTCCAACCACAACAGCGAGTGGTTGAGCCTCGCTCCTGGAGACAAGGGTGCTTGTTTATCAGTGCTGCTGCAACACTTTCGAACTGAGCAGCAGTTGGGTATGCTGTGTAGCTATACATGCTCTCTGCCAATCTTTCAAGTATCTCGTGTTTTAGTTCTTTTGATACTTTAAAGGTATGTACCCTCACTCATAAACAGCAGATCTGCTTGCCTAAGTCTATACTCTACATCCACAGACATGGTAGGGATATCAAAAAATTCTGGCCACTGTTTATGTCGCTCCTGAGATGAGTGTGAGAGTATGTCTGTATCTGCTGTACTGGGTGTGTCACTGAAGACTTCATCAGATGAGACAGGTACCAGCTCAAGGACAGGCATGACTTTAATTGTTGGTTTTTCTGGAAGTTCTTCAGTAGCTGTCAGATTGCATAGTTCATTATTGAATTCAGGGTCTTGGTATTGGAGACTAAAGTTATAATGAAGTCCCAGTGATTCTTTAAGCTTGCTTATCAAATCTTCGACTGTAGAGGGCCTTGTGGTTAGGATGACTTTTCTTATATCCGCCTCTGTTAGAATGACCCTCAAGGTCATCTTCTGGTTTGCAGTCATCTTGGGAATAGAAACAATAATTAGGTCATTAGAAATATAAATATCCAAAAGGCCATTCAATTGCTGAGCATAGAAAATAGTGACTGTCCCTTTAGATTAAAGTGGTAAATCCATAAAAAAAACAACGTATAATTCACAAGAAATCCCCACTTAAATGTGTAAGAAAAACATTTACAAAAAAAGTCACAAATTTAGGGAAAAATAAAAACTTCTCAGAGACTGTATCATTATACATTTCAACATGAGCTCTAAAATAAGCTACAAAATGTTCCATTACAGCCTAGATTTATTGCAGAGATCACACTGTGGCTTCTTAACAGAGAATATAACGCCTGAGGGTCACTACCAAATTATCGCCATATCTGTACGCTGAAAGAGGGAAAACATCATTCAGCTCTTTCAGCTGCACCACACACAGAGAGGGGTTACTGCTGTCACAGATGAGTTCGAAAGATCTCAAATGCTCATGGTACCATGCAGTCATCTCATTGCAAACAAACAGGATCTCAGTGTTAAGTGCCACTATCTGTTTGATCTGTCTAAATGAAGGGAGGCCAGCACATGAACCAACAGAGACTATCATGTCAGCACAATATCTAATTCCATCTACATAGACTGATGATGCAACAAGAACTGATGTAAGCTGAGGAACTCTCTGGCAGAAAACCTGTTGGACATTCTCAGGATAAGATGTGATCGATGCTGTAGTGACCTTGTCCATTTCAATTGAAGGCTAGAAAAATGAACTTGTGTCCAAATAGTAAGCCATCATTTTCTGATGCTTAACAGCCAATGTAAGAGCTACATTTTTGAAGTTGCGGGCATTACGAATGACCCGTTTGGACAATGCGGTTTGAGGGAAAACACAAATTCTTCAAACATCTGAAAGGGGACCAAATGCTTTGATCATCTCAGGGTAATGCTCAATATAGTGGTGTTTTGGCCGTAATCTAAAATTTGGAAAAGTTGTTTGCAACAAGTCTCTATGTTCTGACACTTTGCAGTCAAGGAAATGCACCGACTCTTCAGTGTGCTTTGTTGCGACAGCCAACTCAACAATGTCTTTTAGGAGCAGCAGAATGTTCCATGCATTGTCTCCTTCAGGGACTTTATGACCAATGATAAGTGGGAGCAGCCTGATTAGGGCCCAGTTCTCATGGCCATTGCCACCTATGGTCCCTTTGGTAGAGAAGCCATGAGCAATTGGCTGAGGCTGGTCAGTTTTGTCATGAAAAGCATATTCAAAGGTTTTCATGGCATGGTTCAGTGTTTCTATGGTGAAATATTTCTTAGAAATCATGTCTGAAATGCAGAGGGATAACTCAATAGGAACAATGCCTTCCAAAAGGTCATGGAGGATGTCAGGGGGGTACCCACGGACAACATGAAAGTGCTCCAGGCCGTCAGTCAATACACACCCTCCTTTCACACCATACTCTTTTGCCACAGTGGGATCATGCTTTACCTCCTGCACCTGCTGGTTGTGAGTGTCTATAGTGCGGTGTTCAAAAGCACCTGAATTTACCTCCTTGCCTTGCATCTCGCCTCTCGTCGCCATACAGAACCTGCAGAATCTGTCCACCATAAAGCTTTCGAAGAATCCTGCCAGAGAATGAGCAGCCAGGTTATCAGCAGCCACATATAAAACTGTACCTTTGACAGATTCTCCCAACTTCTCAACATATACACCATGTTGCTCCAAAGAAGCCAGATCATGAATGAGAGGGCGGAGAATTTTAGCGTAGCCAAATTCTTTTACATGAGAGGATTTACACAAAACAGCAAGCTGAATGGAGTGGAGTGTGGATCTGTATTTTGGTGGCACATTAGCTATCACCCAATAAACTGCACTCATTTTGTGTTTCTTTCTCGATGTTCCTAAAGGATTGGACACTTCAAAATCATCTGTATAAAGTCCAACAGCGATTTTGAATTCATCCCCTTTAAGGAGGACATTGTCATTACAGTACGAGCCATCTCTGTATGAACTGTACTCATGTTGCACATGCTTTTGGACGGGAAGAGCTTTGTCCAAAATATCTGCCCTATTCAACATCTTCTGTAGCATTGGATGCAAAGGAACATATACAGCGCTAGATTTTTTTCCTCTTTCAATAATGTACTCCACTGGTTTAACCTCTGTGAAGTTTTTATTCACATATGCTGCTCTCCTTTTTGTTGTTGATAAGGGGCCATCCTTGCCACAGAATTTCATGATCACATTGCCCTTTGCGGCAGCCCTTACTAACTCTTCCACAACTGAATCATCTACATCTGTCTGTTGTTTCAGAATGTCCTTGAGTGCATTATGCAGCAGTGGCTGGGATAGTTCACACATCTGTAACAGCTGTTCTATGACTTCTTGTACCGTACTTTCTGGAATGTGTAGGACTGTTTGCATCTTTAAAAAAAGAGCTGCTAGGTTGTGCTCCAGCTGTTTCTCTAGATCATTAAGATCTTCATTGGTAGAATCCTCACTGTCTTCTGATTCAAGGGTGTCATTTGGAGGCTCATGTTCTTCTTGGGCCATTTCATTAGTTACACTACTAGAGACTATTTCTGGCCTAAACATCCTCCAGTTGTGTGTTCTGTGCTCCTTACTTCTGTGTGCATTAAATGTAGAATACACATTTGTGTGAAAGTTACAGCCATTATATGGGCACTGGACTCTGTGATTTACCTTTAAATGTGTACTGCGCAGGTGAGTGAGAAAGACTGCTTCTGTGCATGGTGCAGAAAAATCACATGACTGACAGTGAAAGGTTACTTGGGCAGTTTCACTCAGTTGTGCACCCTGGGTTTTCTGGTGAATCTTTGCTAAGTGGACCTTAAGTGCATTAATGGAGTTGAATGTGCACACACATTGTTGGTGTAAGCAGGGAAATGGGACAGTTCTACCAAAGTTTCCGTGTTTTAAACGATAATGTTTTAAAAGGTAACCCCTTTTCTCACACATAAACTCACAGTACTTACACTTCCACAGCATCCTAACACCACAAGGATCTGTAACAATAGAAAACAGGAAAACGTTTAGCTCAACGACTCAGTTCAACAATGTCACTGTTAAATACTATAAGGTAATAGAACCGAAACGACGCCTGTTTTACAGAGAAAACCGGCATGTGTCAGCTTCGTGGTGTTTTGTCTTTGCACACCAGAAACGTGTCTGACGCGGCGCTGCTGCTGCTAGCCTTGTCTGTAACTTTACATAGGGATGTTTCCCATAGATTTACTGCACTCAAGCAGTAGTACACTTCATGTTAAACATAAACATATACTGATTTGATTACAGCAAAGACAACGTCGGCAGTATTGACGGCAAAAAAGGCTACAAAATATTCCGTTCTGTATTCACAGGTGCAATATTTGAAAATCGATAATTATTCATTACCATTTACACCATCACAGCGAGAGCTAATTTACACTCCTTTGCAGTCGAGCAAACTCGCCGGTATGTGAGCAATCCTTAGACTGTTAACACTAAGCTAACTTTAACATTCAGATGACACTTTTTTGAGTAACTTAGCTAGCTAGTGTTACCAATAAGCATGTATTAACACCATGCACAGGTTCAAACAGTAACATTAGACGGGAAAAACAGTTGCGTCAACAAATTATCTGCAAGCTTTTGGGTATTAAAAATTCCCACAAAGATAACTAGGCTACAATAGTTATTTTAAATACGAACCATTCCACTTGCAGTAATGTTGCTTCCTAGTCAGGGTACCGTCTGCTGCCGAGGCCTGTGCTCGTCCCGCCAGGTGTAGAGCCTCTTGGACGCACGTTAGACGCAGGTCTTTTCACGTGACCAGGCAGGTTTTTGAATTAGCCACTCCCCTTCCTTATGAAACTAAACATACCAAGTTATCTCTACTAAACATGATTAGTGCAATTAATCTTTCAGCTAAATAGTACAAACAACTAATGTTGTTTAGTAATGATAGCAGGTTTTGACAAAACATAAAAGAATAAGTAATGATCACTCGTAAGTTTAATTAGAAACAAAATCTGGGTTTACAGTGTAGTGACGAAACTCCCTCTGTAGTTGTTTGTCCGTTTGGGTTACTGTAGACACATGGCAGCGCAACATGGCGTATGTAGATAGATATGTCTCATTCTAAGGTAATAAAAACACAACATTTCATTTTTTATGGTCTTTTTACACCACTGAAAACACAGTTATGGATCTTATATAGCATTTCTTTCAATATCCTCCTAAATATTGAACACTGGACCATCAAGTTGGAGGTTTTAGTGACTGTCCGCTCCAGTCTGTTGTTGGTGAGACTGACTGAGCAGAAAGTGAGATATGATGTGAAAACGCTGGATTTATATGTAGAAGAGAACTTTTAAGCATGTATTTAGTGCTTTATTTGTAGGTATAAAGAAACAATGGATCTAGAGTACATGTGGTGAGAGGCTAATGAGGAAAGTGAGCAGGTAAACAAGCAGATAGTCAGTTGACTGCAGGGCAGAAAGGGGAAGTTAGAACAGGTGAGCGGGGCCCAGAGGAAGTCTGGTGGACGGCTCAAGATTGGCAGGTCTGCAGAGTAGGAAAACAATATATGGTCTGGTAGAAGTGAACAGGGAACTGAGACAGGAACAGACAGAGAGAGTAATGCAGAGGGCTGGAGAGGAGAGGGTACGTCTGCAGAAAGGGACTGAGAGGCAAACGGTGACATCGTCTTATTCTGTTCAAGCTGTATGATCATCTACATTTCACCTCACTGAAGCAAAAAAGTTTTTCAATGCTGCTCTCACGCCTGATCTCATTTCACATAAAGTATTTCTCAAAGTTCTGTTGTTGCTTGTAACTAAGAGTTCTGCCTCCTTCACATGAACACTCTTGAAGCTGTCCACCACGGCGTCTCCAGACTCTTTGACGTCTGTCACATGCGCTCAGTGTGAACCTGCTCTAATCGGACCTGCCAGTTCTTGTGATCTCTGTTGAATGCCAATCAAGCTGCACAGTGCTGTACTGTGAGCACAGATCCCTTGAGAGGACATGAGGCCCTCATTCCACCCTCATGAAGTCTGTTTAGACAGCAACATGCACTCCTGTTCCTCCTCGCACAAAGGAGCAGAGACGGGTCCTGCTGCTGATTTGATGACTGGGTTGACATGTCCATACGTGAAAACTTGGAACGAGAGTTGACAAGATTTTTCACACTGTTGGTTTCACTTTCTACGCCTTTTGTTTCCTCAGGGTCTGTATTTGTCTCACACTCTTTATTTTTTGAGCTTTAAACACATTTATACTGTGGGGTCTGTTTTAACATGTCTGGTTGGTTTCTGTTTATACTTCTTAGTCAACTTGTGACATTATATCTAATAGTATGTTCCATGTTCCCACCATCAGTCTATAAACAATCCTGTATCAGCGTGAAAAACAGCAACAACTTGTTATTAGCAGTGTAAATATAAAAAGCAGATGACACTCTCAAACTGATTAAATGTTGAACAGACATTCATGTTTTCCAGAGAATTGATCCTTCTGACACAGAAATGGATTGCTTTTGTTTTGGTCAGAAGTCGTGTCTTCTGCTTTTCAACAAATGTGTGTGTTTAAACAGTGTTTTGCACTGAAATGACCTCCAACCGAATGTTTTAGAAGAATTAATAGAATACTGCAGGTCCTGAAGGAGACTCCATCCTTGGACGCCTAAAAATTTAAAACAAAACTTTAAATAAACTGGTTGTTTTTAAAGTTAAACTGATGTTTAAATATGTGTATTTGAATCATCAAATTTTGTATGAACTGTGGAAACTTTTAATCAGAAAGCCTGTTGCGCCCTCTTGTGGTTGAAGTGAAACATTGCAGTGTGGACTCCAGCAGATCTGCTCCCCTTCTTAATGATCCAGTTTGTGTCTTCATGTGGATCAAACATGTCTCTTAGTGTCCTTGTTTTTATCTTGTAGATGTGCAGCTGATGTTTGGGGTGATGGAGGTTACCCCAGCAGTGGAGCTGTTCATTAGGAGACCATTCATGCAGAGGAAGAGGAGATGAGAGAGGATGAAGCAGTTAATGAAGACAACACATGAAGAGCAGTTATGAGTAAAGATGAAGAAAACTCCGAGTCCGAGTCTCCGGGAGGATGAACACTTGGATCAGAAACATCTGGATAACATCAGAAGCCATGAACTGACAAACAGTCCTGCCATGTCTCCAGTTTGCTCTGCAGTTGATGAAGATCAGGTGTAATGTTTAGCCGCCTACACCAGCCGGTACTTTGTGTAGTAAAATTTAGACACAATTATAAATAAATACCCCATATAGAGTTGATCCAGTAACTCACAGTGAAAGAAACAGCAGGTGATGGACAGACAGGTGGTCGTCCGCTGTCTCTGTCCATGGTGCTGAACTCACCCAGAAAATCTCTCTGACCCACCTGATCCATTCAGGTTTAAATGATCTCTATAATCCATATCTATAAATAATGATTCCCAAATAAACAGGCTTATTGAACAACGGTATTTATTTACATTTACATAGTTAAGTAAAAGTACTTTAACCACAGTGTGAAAAGTAAAAGTAATTAAAATTCTTATTTAAGTAAAAATACAGATATAATTATTATCAGGAAAATTTACTTAAAGTCGGTTTCAGCTTCAGTTTATCAAACATTCACATTCATACTTAGTTTTCACTGGACAGGAAGGGGATGAAAATGTAATCTGAAAAGTAATTAAAGCTGTCAGACAAATTTAGCGGAGTAAAAAGTAAGTAGTAAAGTAAGCTGTATAAAATGGAAATGCTCAAGTAAAGTACAAGTACCTCGGATTTGTATTCACATGCAATCAGTAACTACCAGATGAGATAAGTATTACAATAATAAATAATTCTTCTTCCTCTGTGCCGCAGAGCTTCATTGTCATCGAGTCACATTGCTGCGCTGGTGACGTGTTCCTCTGCTTGTTTTTTATCCTTAAAACAGATTTAATAATCTCTGTTAGTTTGTTTTAAAGTCACATTGTATGAAAAACTGCTTTGCAGCGTGCATTGTGTTATAAACTGTCAGCTGTCTCTGTGTTGCTCTTCCTGAAGTTCAGGTTCATCTCCACAGTTCTTCCTGCTGTATCATGAGGGCATTTTATTTCTGTCCATCGTCTTCATTGACTGAAGTGTCCTCTTCAGCTCCTGTTCTCCATTTCACACTTTACATTTTCCTCACTTTGTTATTGTCCCTTCTTTTCTGTAATGATATCACGTTCCTCCCTCTTTCATAGCTTATTTGTTTGTTCTTCGTCTCTCTTTCCCTTTCTCTGTTGGTCTGCACTTTCTCTTTATTCCCCAGCTGCTCCCAGGTTCTCCATTTCCTTTTGTCCAATCAATTCCGTTAACTCCACGCCGTCTTCATTAGTCTTATTTTCATTGTTCGTGACAATATCTTTTTCAGTTTCCTGGTTCCCCTTGCCAACAGAAGAAAAAGCAGTTAAAAGGTGCTCTGTTCATGTAGTTTTGCTTTAGAACAGAAAACTGATTTCAAACTAAATACATTTTATGCACTTTGCCATCTTTTCTGTAATGCTAATGATGTCATGTTTGTTTTTTAGTGGTTTCTCTTTCATTTGTTTGTTCTGGTTCTCTCTCTTTTAATTGATGTGAAAATGAGAAACTAAAGCAGCAGAACAGAAATATGATGGTTGAGCTGAAAATATTTTTACATCAAAATGGAGAAAAGACATTTTGCATTACAGGTACAACATTTAAGTTTTCATTCCAATATGAGGAACAAAGCATCTGAGACGAGTGCCACTTCTTTATTTTCTTCTTCATATTATGGTGGATGTTCTTGTTCCACTGATCGCCCCCTCCTCTGTAACAGGCTCCCAGGCCAACCAGTAAGAGTCACTGGTGCACTGACAAAGACATACAGGTGGGAACACAATTGTACTGAACAAACCTAAAGCAGGATACAAGGTATCCAGCACTCCGTGGTGTTGGACAAGTGCTACCTCTGCACCACATTTTATATTTCCTGTTCTGTTTTTTTAAAATTTTGCCTACAATATATCGTATATGCAGTATATTTTAATATCATGTATATAGTATATAATAAAATGTATGTGACCTACTTACAGTTTTCAATGGATAATATATTACTACTATGAACACCGAGGCAGCAATGCAAAGAAGAATGGTGATGATCAAAATCCAATCAGAAGAGGACAGATCCCTGAAGAAACCAGCTGAAATGATACAACATAGAACAGCATGACACTTTTAAATCAAACTATACTTCAAATGTTTAAATCAGTATTGATACTTTTGAATTCACCCTACATGTCATTATATAGCCAACCGTGAGCTCTGACAGTAACACAAAAATGGAAATTAACATGTGACTTACGTTACGGCCTTTTTATCCATGTGATAATAAACACTAAGACGCCAATTCCAAGACTAATGATGATGCTCCAAATGCAATTCCAACAATTCAGATCATTGAAGAAACCAGCTGAAATGACACAAACCAGAACAGCATGACGCTTTTTTAATCAAGCTACAACAGTTTAAACAAAACAGTGGTATTTTGTAGAATTTATACAAAACTCTTTCTAACCTGTAACCTGGATGTGAGTCTCTCTGGTCTGGTTGACGTCCTTCTGTTGGACTCTACAGGTGAAGCTGTTGCTGTGTCTCTTCTCCACAGTCACTCTGCTGCTGACAGTATAGAGGTCATCAGGACCTCTGACTGTCTCTGTAGGTCCAGCAGAGAGGAGGTTTCCCTCACTGTCCAGCCAGAACACCTCAGGCTCTGGATACCAGCCTGCAGACTCACACTGAAACACCACACTGTCACTGTTATCTGAGACAACCTGTATGATGGGCGAGGAGACAGCACCTGAGGAGAAGAGAGGAGGAATTAGGACAGTGGGTTTAACTGAAACACTTATTAATAAATATGTCACTGATTTGTATGATTGTTAAAGTACATTAAAAACACTTTTTACTTAACATTTCATAAATTTCTTATAAAAGTCTTCTTTTCACTTCCTTTGACATTTTATAGCAAATCATTAACTACAATTATTATGTGGAATTTAAAGGTAGCCATTTGTGACATTCTGATCAATAAACTTATTGACACATTTAGTGAACATCTTCTCAGTGTCCACTAGCAGTCCATTCAGTGTGACCCGTTGGCATCAGTTTGTAATGCACTTAGCATCATAGTTATACACACTGGGAGAAGCCCTGTACCATCCTTTATAAAAGGAAAGGAGATAATGCCGTCCCACAATTCCTTGCGACAGACCCACGTAAATGTAGAAACAACAAAGCACCTGTTTTGTGCTTGTGACACGATCCAAAATCAAAATCCTTGTATGATTAGCTAAGCTCCAAAACCATGAATATAGACTTCTTCTCAGTGAAATCCACCCAGTTAGCAGGAATCTTGAAAAACAAGCATAATGATTTTTTTCTTTCATCTTAAAAAAAAACTATATACATTAATGTTGTTTCACTGAATCTCCCCATTGTGGAATGCACAAAAAAAAATTCTCTCCTTTGAAAATGTATAAAAAAGGTCAAAGCGTACACACCAGGAGAGCCCTTGCTCAATTCCTCATTTTTATTTAATTATCATTTTAGTGGCTCAACTTTAAAAATCTACAAATTATTCCAAAATATTTTCTTAGATACGATTCCACAGAGATGCCTCTCTACTGGATTCGATAAGTAAAATTAGAATCAGAAATTGAAGAAATTTAAACGATATCCAACCCTTGTTTGGACCCTGCTGCTGTACTGTTTATATCAGTGGGTCCCTGTTTGGTTTATCTTGTGCAGGTAACATGATGCACAATGCTGCCAGTAGTTTCACTGTTCCAGCAGTGATGTGCCAAGAAACTGGACCAGTAAAAGCAGGAAGAACAAGAAGACTGCTGCTGACTAAATGTGGCTGAACACAGTAAAAGCTTCTACAGTATCAGCTTTGCAAATGTTTTACAAGGAAGGAAATGATTCAACACGTTTGTTAGCTTACAGTTTTGGTGAGAAACACTACATGTAAACAGAACTACTGTTTGTTTACAAGAAAACTCCACAGGTCACCTTTAATGTTTTCTGCAGTCACGGTTGATTTTACTCCGACTTTGTATTTCAAAGTTTTCATCTTCTGTTTTACTTTGTTGTCTTTGTGTTTTGTCAAAGCTGCTTACGTCTAATAAGTTGCATTACTGATCTTTGCAGTCAAACTTTGTTTTTCATCATCTCTGCACATGGCATGAATTTGTGTCTTTTGTACACTACACTGATAATAGAACATGTGTTTAAAGTCAGAACATAAATAAATTTTTCACAGTTAATAATACACTTCTGCATGATAAACACAAAAGCTGTTCATCACAGTATATTTAATTATTATCTGAATAAAGCTGCATTCTGACTCACCAACAGTGAGCTGGATGGAAGCTTCCTTCTGCATTGATTGAAGGAAACAAAAGTATTTTCCTGCATCAGAGATTTTCACACTGAAGATTTTCAGGAAGACGTTTCCTTTAATCAGTTCATCCACAAACAGAGCTGTTCGGAAACGATAAGACGGGTTTTGATGTTCATCCATCAGTCGCCCATCTTGGCGAATATGGATGTACTCTGGCTCCAAACCAGGTTTGGCCCACACCACTATCTCAGAACTGGCGCTGACTGCAGGTTCAAGGTGACATGACAAAATGACATCATCACCAGCCAGTGCTACGATTGGTTGATGTGAACAAATCAACTCTGACTGAGCTGCAAAGAAAACAAAAGTACAAACAACAAACAGCAGCATAGCGTTATTCATGTCATCGAAATAATTAAATTAACAGTATGAAATAATCACTGAAATCTCTCTCAGCTGCATTAAAAACAGGGAACAGATCATCTAAATCCTGAAAGATGTGTGTAGATTATGTTAAATCGACCACTGGAGCCTCAGAGTCTGTATCTGACTCACACTCATCATAATTTTTAGCTTCAGTCACATTTATACTATAGAGCAGCATTATGGTGTTTAACATGTTGAATTGAGTCTTGTTGGTTTTTGTTTCTTCTTCTTTTTTGTTGACCGCAGTTTTTTTTTTGAGTCAACCTGTGACAGTATGTCTAACCGTAAAAGGCCTCAGAGAGTTTGAGCTGTGAGTAAAATGTTCTCACCATCAGTCTATCAACAGTCCTGTATCACAACTTGTCAATGGCAGTGAAAATTTTAAAAAGCAGCTGACGCTCTGATTGTATAAAGAAATTTGCATTCAGTGCAGATTTTAGGGATGGTAACGTTGGTCAATCAGTCAACCACTTTGGAAAGATTAGATTGGTTCCCATTAAATGTTGAACAGACATTCTGGTTCACAGAGAATTGATCCTTCTGACTTTAAAATCCTGACCGGCACCACCAGCGGGTAACAATGTTTGGGCTCAAAAACTATTGGGTAGATTAACATTATAAAGTAATTCCCATCATCCACAGCTGTACTTGTGTTTAGCTAAACTAAGATGGTGAACAAGGTAAAACTACACTGCTACAAATCATTGGCTGCCGTTGAAAAGTCAAAAAAAATTTCCTTTCCTAACCACTTTTCTTTAACCTTGATGAAAAATGTCAAAAAAGCGCCACAAAATTTATGTACTCAGTATTTTGTTTTAAAGATTCCAGTTTTTGTTGAGTTGTGTCTTTAATGTGTTACTGGAGTGTTGTGCATTGAAATTACCTCCAACAGACTCTATTAGAAGAATGATAAACAGTAAAACACTGCAGGTCCTGAAGGACACTCCATCACTGGACTCTGTCTTTGAATGCAGCATCCTGGAAATAGTTTAAAAAGACAAAATGCTGATTAGTCTGGTTGTTTCAATCATACAAATCAAACATGTCTTTATTTAGTGGGAAATTATCATGAAACCCAGTCTGATAATGATCTGATCTTGCCTTCCTACTTTGAAGCCATTTTTTTCTGATATTTCAAAAATATCACAGTCTTGTAAAAAATGTGCATTAAAAAGAGAACGAAGGATTTTAACTGTTAGGGTTATCAAGTGTGGCAAAAAGAAAGTAGGCTAACAGACGCACTGCAATTTGACTTTGTTTTATTTCATCAACAGACAATTCTTTATGAAGACAAAAGTAGTTCCGCCAGGCTGCCGGTGGGCTATGACGGTTGCAAAGCAACATACATCAAAGGCTAGAATTATTAGAACTATTTATTTATGTACGTTTCCGTTTATTGTGCAGCCACTAAGACTGTCCAGCGTCAGTAGATTGACTTTAGTAACTTATAATATGTTTGCTCTTGTGTGCCGGCGGCCTGCAGTGCGTAAAATAATAACACTTTAATATAATACCTACCAGAAAGGGCGGAATTGCGTCTCCTTGAGCAAAATCTTTGAACAGGCTATTGAAACTTAAACTTTGTTGCAATATCGCATACTGGGGCAAGTAGTGGACTGCTGAGTGTGTTTGTGTGTTTTCGTGTGTGTGAGAGAGGGAAATGTTGAACCACGTAAAAGCAATGATTTCTCTCTCTCTCTCTCTCTCTCTCTCTCTTATTATTTATTTATTTATTTATTTATCTCCGCTGGTAAAATGCGATCTGTATCAGATCGCATTTTAATACCAGGTGTAAATGGGGCGTGAGACCTCCACGAAGCTCAGATTATAACTCAGACCCTGTTTGTGGCGGAGTGAAACGGATCTGTGCAAAGGAATTCAATGTCTTACCCGTTATATACGCTCATTGTATTATAGCTATGAACCAATCAGATTGCTTGATTTGAGCTACCCGTTTTTATAGTAAAATCCGTCCATTTGAATTATTCTGAATTATCAGTGCAATGTGACAAAGTCACAAACATGTTAGGTTTCTTCAGTCAGTGCTTTGACCGGACACTGACATAAGATCTGGAATTGGGGCGCTGCACAGCGGCTGCTCCCTGCTCCTTTTGGATGGGTTAAATGCAGAGGATGAATATCTCAACATGTATGTGTATGTGACAAATAAAGTACATTTGATTTGATTTTCATTCAGCAGATGTAAAATGTTGTTTTAACAATAAAGATGTCCAATGTTTAATATTTAAGTTTTACTTTAAAAAGCAACTTTTAACCTGTAGTAGCTACGACAACTGGTAACTCTCCAATTTGATGTTGTGCTGTTGTTGCCTGACATGAAGTAAAGGTCAGTAGATGCAAATTTCCAACCTTTCATGCAAATAATACAATAGAGACATTTTTCACTTCATCTTTCAGAGTTTTACTAACAGTTTAACTTTATAACAGACATATTTGACATATTAATGAAGATCATAGTTAGCTTTAAATTGTTTGTACATAATAATTATATATATATATATAAAAATTAATAATGAAAGTCCACTTGGCTATATGTACATATATTATAATGAACAACATAAAAAAAATGAATAAAATATGTATTTAATAATCTTACTAACGTTATACAGTCAAAGATTATGAATTAATGATAAACAACGTTTAATGTAAAAGTTTAATTTTAAAATGTAATTTACCTGCAGTAGGACAACTGGTAACTCGCCAATTTGATGTTGTGCTGTTGTTGCCTGACATGAAGTAAAGGTCAGTACATGCAAATCTCCTTTCATGCAAATAATACAAAAGAGACATTTTTCACTTCATCTTTCAGAGTTTTACTAACAATTCAACTTTATAACAGTTTTGACATATATTGATAGCTATAAATTGTTTGTATATAATAATTTATATAAAAATTAATAATGAAATCCACTTGGCTGTATGTACATTTATTATAATGAACAACATTAAAACATTTATAATATAAAAATGTATTTAATAATCTTACTAACGTTAATGATAAACGTTTAATGTAAAAGTTCAACTTTAAAATGCAATTTACCTGCAGTATGGCGACTGTTAACTCGAGAAATTAGGAAGTGTGACCAAGGGCCTTTTTGAAACTAGACCCTCTCCACTTCCACTCCGTCACGGAGTCAACTCACAGCCAAATCGAGCTGCCAACAGCGGCCAACTTCTGGATGAACTTGACTCTCCCTAGCGTAAATTAAGAAAACTCCTCCATCGTGCAGCAAAGGTGTTACACATCTTCAACAAACCAGCATCGGTGCTCACTCAGGGGTGGAGGTACTTTCTTAAAATGCCCAAAGAGAGCGAGAGAGACAGAGAGACTACTCACACAAAGACACACACAGAGAACACACAGAAACACCAGGGAAATGCAGATAAACTGACACAGCATAACAAGTAGCTACATGCAAAAACTAAACTAACTGACCAGAGGAACAGTACACTGTTATTTGCTTTACCTTTGATTAGCAAATGTTTAAATTCCAATTCTAAATAATGTCTGAACTTCATCAGGAACAGCTGTCACCAGGGTTATATCTCCTAAACATCTATCAGCACACAACAAACTAATAGAATAGAGAGTTATTAGATGAGAAGCCTTCCATCAAAGTTACAAATTTACTGTTTAAGGCAGGACACTTTTTTCATATAGTGGTCAATTTTGAAATAGTTGGAGTTACCACACCTTAGCCAGGACAGTACAGAGACATTGGTGTATTTTGCTTCCATGTCTTCTTTTACTGTAATGAAAAGAAAACTTGCAAAAACCATTTGTTCAAAAAAAAAAAAAAAAACCCAGAAGACACTTGAATGTGAGAATATACAGTGAATATATGTGATATGGTACAGTGATGTACCAGTGCAAACAAGTCCAGCCTGAGTTCAGTCCAGAGCTTTCAGTGCATTCAGATCAGAATGGGGTCTCATGGGGTTGTTGAGTGTTCTTCTGACTGCTGAAGGAAAGAAGCGTTTTTTTTGGCGAGTGGTTTTGGTTGATACCTGTAGCACCTTCCACACAGGAGAAGCTGGAAGTGGTGAGAGAGAGTTCCTTGGTTATTTTAGCTGCCCAGTTAAAGGTGTGCTTAATCCACCGTGAGTTGACTGGGGGGAGGTCACAACCGATTAAAGGTTCAGTGTGTAAAGTGCTAAATAACAGGTGTGGTCCTCCATTTATCCAAATTTCACTTGTCTCTAATAAACCAGACAACTAAACTACAACAACTACTACTTATTCTTCTAACACTACTGCTGCTTCTACTTTATATCTATTCAACACACGATGAGCATCTACACTACCGGGATTCTACAAGAAGAAGAAGAACGTAGTGACGAAATTTGGTTATTTGACAGCCTTGCCACACTTGGGTAGTATAGGATCTCAGGTACGCATGGCGGCAAAATAAATCTTCCTGCCATGAAGTTAAGACCAGCTCAACGTGTGTGTCTCTTCTGTTCTTTATCACAAGTCAGTAAACACGCCATAAATTGACTGTACATGGTAGATTTCCAGATAGTATTATGTCGTGTTATGCAGGTCAAGTTACAGAATGTGTTGTTAGAGAACTCTGTATAACTAGCTAATGCTTACCTCCTAAAAATACAGGCAAAAGTATTATCAGGAAAATTTACTTAAAGTCAGTTTTAGGGCTGACCCCCAATAGTCCAGGAGTCGATGCTTCGATTGGCGGAGCCTGATTCAAGTGTGAATCTCAGCTTTGCAGCGAAACTAGGATCATGCCATTTTGGCGATATTGGGGTGCTCAACATCTGATTTTACATGGAACTACCAGTTTTCTCCCAATACGTTAGAATACAGCCTATTACAATACGTTTCAATGTTTAATGCTGTAAATAAACATGTAAAAAGAATTAAACTTCCAATAAATGTTTTTAAAAGTGCGCAAATAAATCCGTCAGTGCGCAAGTGTAGGTGTAGTAGTGATGGCAAGTTCGACTCTTTTGACAGACTCGTTCATTCAAATCTCGTTCATTAAAATGAACTAATCTTTTTTTGTGTCATTTCGTTCATTTGAACTAGGCTGGTTATTGTGGCGCTGCAGCCCTCTAGTGGGCGATTAAAAAACAGCGCCGTTCCCAAACACGGAAGGCTGCCTGGCTTGCTTTAATTGACAAAGTATAATGCACAAATTCACCTCTTGATTACTGTATTACTATATTATCATTATATAAACCCCCCTTGGGCCCACAACCAAATTCAAACCATGTAAAAACCACAGAAATATGTTGTCTATATGCAATGCACTACTCCGGCTAAATCCTTCCATTTTCACCACCAAGTTGTAAAAGAACTCCAGCACAGAGAGAGGAACAAAGAAATAAACACGGTCTGGATGCAGAATGGGCCACATCGGGTCTGGATTCTGCAGACAGAGAAACACACATGAGCACATCGCTCTCAAACACTGCAGGTTGTTCACCAGTCACGAGCTGTGAAACAACAGCACGGCTCTGTTGGTAAATAAAAAGGAAAAGTTACGTTGCGTTCTCTGGCGGACCAGGATCAGCTGTCAGCTGTTTATAGGACTAACGTTAACGTTGCTACGTGGCTGTGTTTTAATGTTTTAATGACCGGGTCTGTTTGTTTTAGAGAGGAGACGACCTCTGAGGTAATTCAGCTCCCGGTAGAACCCTGTCAGGGCTCTGAAGTGGACCCAGAACAACTCTCATCAGCTGTTAGCTGTAAACACTAGCAGGACTAAAGTTACTATGCGGCTGTGTTAAAACTATAACTTAGCACAACATCACTGCGCTGTAATAATGTTATGCTTTATTAAATGTCACGTCATTAACAAAATAGCTATATGTCAGTCCACTTACCTGACGGCCGACCTGCCTCTCATTCTCGGGCGCTGGCAGCACTCAGCCGAGTGAACGAAAGACTGAGGACTCCTCAGTGAGGAGGACCGATGTGAGCGGTGAACGAGTCGTTCATTCCTGCTCCACACAGTAGCTGTCACGTGACAGATGAACGACTCAAACCTGGAGACCCACAGTTGCTATGAGTTGTGAACTAATCAGTTCTGCTTCCTGTGCTGCCTGCTTACCACAGCCCTGTAGCCGAGCTGTCACGTGACAAATGAACGATCAAACAGACCCACAGTTGAGAGTCGTGAACTAATCAATTCTGTTTCCTGTGCTGACGGAGCCCATGCAGCTGCTGTGTGACGAGTGAATGTAAGAGTCCAAGATCCTTCACGCATGCGTGAAAATGAACGAATCACTCACTGAGACAACCCGTTCCTCCCGAGTCATATACACGATTAGGTTAAATGAACGAAACGTTCTTTGAACGACACAACACTAAGGTGTAGCGTGTGTGTGTGTGTGTGTGTGTGTGGTGGCGGAAGAGGAACACTTGCTGAAGAGACGGAGACGCTGGTGTTGTGCCGAGTTGTCTGCACCTCGTGGGACTTTCGGATAATTTATCACCGTTGATGAACCACACAAAGAATATTTTATCGCTTTTAAATAGCCGCTACTTGAAATAGACCCACGAGGAACTGCGACGTGTATAGTTGTCGGCGTGATTCGACTATCAGTCGACTAAAGGCAGGACTTGACAACTCTGATTCGACTATTTAAATCCTTACTCGGGGACAGCCCTGGTCAGTTTCTGCTTCAGTTTATCAAACATTCACATTTCACTTGGTTTTCACTGGACAGGAAGGGGATGAAAATCTAGTAACTACAGCTGTCAGACAAATGTAGTTGAGTAAAAAGTATAGTACGTTGTATAAAATAGAAATGCCAAGTAAAGTACAAGTACCTCGGATTTGTATTCACATGCAATCAGTAACTACCAGATGAAATAAGTATTACAATAATAAATAATTCTTCTTCCTCTGTGCCGCAGAGCTTCATTGTCATCGAGTCACATTGCTGCACTGGTGACGTGTTCCTCTGCTTGTCTTTTGTCTTTAAAACAGATTTAATAATCTCTGTTAGTTTATTTTAAAGTCACATTGTATGAAAAACTGCTTTGCAGCGTGCATTGTGTTATAAACTGTCAGCTGTCTCTGTGTTGCTCTTCCTGAAGTTCAGGTTTCATCTCCACAGTTCTTCCTGCTGTATCATGAGGGCATCTTATTTCTGTCCATCGTCTTCACTGACTGAAGTGTCCTCTGCAGCTCCTCGGTCTTCTCCGCTTTCACTTTGTTCTTTCCCCTTCTTTTCTTTAATGATGTCATGTTTGTTTTTAAGTTTTTTCTCTGTCTTCCATAGCTGAATTGTTTTTTCTACATCTCTCTTTTCCTTTCTCCGTTGGTCTGCACGCTCTCTTCGTTCCCCAGCTTCTCCCCGATTCCGCGGTTTCGTGGAAAACATCTGAAAATGAGAAACTAAAGCAGAAACAGAAATATGATGGTTGAGCTGAAAATATTTTTACATCAAAATGGAGAAAAGACATTTTGCATTACAGGTACAACATTTAAGTTTTCATTCCAATATGAGGAACAAAGCATCTGAGACGAGTGCCACTTCTTTATTTTCTTCTTCTTAGACCCCATATTATGGTGGATGTTCTTGTTTCCTCTGATCTCCCCCTCCTCTGAGTGCTACCTCTGCACCATCTGTACCACATTTTATATTTCCTATTTTGTTCATTTGCCTTCATTGTATTAAAATATACGTTAGTATTAAATCATGAACATTGTGCTATATAGTATATGGATACTTTGGAATTAACCACTATGTATAACTGTAGCCAAGGAAGAGCTCTGAGAGTAACTTGACATAAAAAAGGAAAATATGTGTTAATATGTGACTTACGTTTCCGTGTCAGTATTAAAATAAAAAGCAACAAGACAGGAGAATAAACAACAATGGTGAAGATCCCGATCCCTATCAAAGAGGACTGATCCATGAAGAAACCAGCTGAAATTATGAAACACAGAACAGCATGACACATTTATATCAGACTAGACTTAAACTTTTTCAAACTAAAACACTAACATTATGCAACAACATTATGCATAATTTACACAGAACTCGTTCTAACCTGCAACCTGGATGTGAGTGTCTCTGGTCTGGTTGACGTCCTTCTGTTGGACTCTACAGGTGAAGCTGTTGCTGTGTCTCTTCTCCACAGTCACTCTGCTGCTGACAGTATAGAGGTCATCAGGACCTCTGACTGTCTCTGTAGGTCCAGCAGTGAGGAGGTTTCCCTCACCGTCCAGCCAGAACACCTCAGGCTCTGGATACCAGCCTGCAGACTCACACTGTAACACCACACTGCTGCTGTTATCTGAGACAACCTGTATGATGGGCGAGGAGACAGCACCTGAGGAGGGAGAGAGGAGGAATTAGGACAGTGGGTTTTAGTGTATATCTTTGTGAGTGACTCTAGATAGCACTCGGAGGTCAGTGCAACTCTCCAACGATATGCCTTCCCAGACTAATCCCTGAGCCACCACCAAACCAGTACTGCTGGATTATGTTGCTGTCACAACAGCCAACCTGCTCTCATCTTTGAAGAGAACCGGGTGCCGATGGCGAACCTGCCAATTATGGTGCTCTCTGGCAAAGGCTGATCGAGCTGCACAGTGTTGGGCTTTGACTACAGATGTTACTAGAGGAAGTCTGACATTGACACTGATTCACAATCACTTGTGCTTCCTAACTGGACAGATTGATATCCCTGAAGTTTAATCAATATTATGTTATACTTTGATGATGTGGAGTGTTAATTGTTTTGAGCAGTGTACATTAGAAAGTGTTTTCCACCAAAATATTTTAACCTTTCCAAACATGTTGAATGTGTTTACTACCTAATAAAACATTTACCGTCTTCTTCTCTGCACTGCTGCCTTTTATAGCAAATCTTCACCCTCACCATCAATGAGTTTCAAACACACTGGCCAGGTGAGGCCAGTTGCAAAGAAAGTATAATGTTGAGCCCTGATGTTGGCATTAGCATATATTTTTATCACCTCTTCTGACCAAGTCGTTGTTTCAGAAATGGATTCCTATTTTTGCTTTTTGCTGAGCTGTGTCATCAGTGTGCTACTGAAGTGTTTTGCATTGAAATTACCTCCAACAGACTCTATCAGAAGAATGATGAACAACAAAACACTGCAGGTCCTGAAGGACTCCATCTTTGAACGCAGCATCCTAGACTCCTGAAAATTAAAAACAATTGTTTTAAAAGGACAAAAGGCGTTTTGCCTGTTATTTTTTCATATAAATTACACAAATAAAACATATCTTTGTAGAAAATTAGCATGTTTCTGATCAGGGTTGAAATCCAGTCTTGTAGTTTGTCTTTGGTTTCACTTCTCCTACAGTGAGATCATTTTTTTGTTCCTCTGGATGTGATGTGACTTCTTGTTTTAAACTGACCACAGAGCCCAGACCACATGAGATGCATGTGTTGTGTCTTATAAAGCAGTTCACAAACCTCCAAAATGTTTTGGGTTAAGAGGGAAAAATCTAAACATCCTTTAAATCTTGAAGCTGGTGCTCCTCACTGTCACTCCAGCTCTCTGATGGAATTTCAACAATTAAACAAGCTATTCTGAATTAACCCTCAGCGTGAAGTTTTTATTCAGCAGCTGTAAAAAGCTTCAACATTAGGAGTAGCTCTCACATGTAAAACTGTCAACATATCACAGGAAATGTATTATCATTCAAAAAAAGAACTTTTAACATTAATATAACCTAACTGATAATACTGCTGTAAATTAGACTCTTGAAAAAATTCGTGAAATAGTGTTAAGCGCTGTTTTTTTGTGGCTTTCACTTTCATCGTACACACACACACAATGTTTATTAGGCTATCATTATAGTCTTCCAGAGGATTAGTTTTATAATGCATAAAATAATAATCACATTGTTTTGACAGTCAAAGATTATGATGTGATGACATATTTAAATAAGCAACTCTTACCTACAGCGTGACAAACCCAAAGTGTGTAATGTGATGATTTTTCTCTCCTAAAATGAGGAAGTACTACACCTTGTGACACAGTCACCCTGGTCAAACCCTTTGCAGGAAAAAGTGT